TTGCTCTTCCCTTGACATATTTCAGTTACTTTTCAATTGAGTATGTTTTGCTGAAGAGGTATTTTATAAAAATTTCCTATCAATAAGTCTTTGCAATAAGTGCGAGAGTTATAAATCAAAAATCATCCGTGATAACAAACATATAATTATTGAATTACTAATCGTTAACTAACTTACTAACAATCTTTTAGGCTAATAAACTATTATTACGACACGCTGCTGACTTGAATTGAATTTCACTAACTTTTAAAATTGCTTTAGTTCACTAAATTGATATTTCTTAAAGAAACAATGTCTTACTAAAAAACTATGTTTAATAGTTAATATAAATTTGTTGAATTACTAATTTTCAAAACAAACTTTAAGGTTTATTAACTTTTATGTACGTCACGCTTTTGCATTTAATATATTTCACTTATAAGTTTAGTTCACTGAATTGATATTTCTAAAGATTTACTATTACTACATTATGTCTTACTAAAAAGTGCGTATGTTTAAGACAAGATTAAGATTACTTATCTTCAAAACAATCTTCAAGACTTATAAACTTTAATTACAATAGGCTTCAGTTACTTTTTAAATAAGTTTAATTCACTAAATTGATATTTCTATAACATTTTTTATGAACATGTCTGAGTTAAAAGTGCGTTAGTTTTACAATCTAACTAACAATCTTCAAGACTTATAAACTTTTATTACTCGAAAGCCAGTAAAGATAAGAAATATTTAATAAAATCTTAAAATAATTAGTTTTGCTTAAAAATAACTTTTCTTAGGGTTATAAATCTTTTATAACGTCATAACAAAGCAAGCTAACGTTTTTCTGCAATTAGAACGCGGCCAGAACACGGGGATTCCCCCCCCTAACATAATTTCTTTTTCACTCGCTCACTCTTTCTATTTCTCTTTCTATTTCTCATTCTCGGATGGACAGTCTAAAGAGCTCTTTCCCCAAAGCACTTGAGCCTGAGCCCCTGGTTATGACTCAATAGACCCCAGACTCAATGGATAACGATCTCGACTGCCAATCCAATTGGCCACCAATCGCCCCCATTCGACTCGTCGGCTCCTCGACTATTTAACTCCATTGGAGGCCAAGCTCCAGTGGAAATCGTAACGCCCATTTTAACCTGCTCCCTGCCCCCGGGGACTTTCACAAATCCCGCGAAGAATTCACTGCTGCTGCTGTTGCTGCTGCTGCTAAACGTTTTGGAACGGATGAGCAAATATTGAATCTTGCGGCTGACAATCGATGGCAGGTCTTTTCCTTTCGTTACACTTTTCTTTTTCTGCTCCGCAAGTATTTGACTTTCGATGAAAGTTGCAGACGTGTTGGCAGCTATGACCCCGATATCCCGGGGGCTAATTCTCAGAAATGCCAAATCGGGATGGTTGACATAGCGTTGCGTAAGTGCACAGCTCCATTCGACGGAGATGCGATCCACATGCCAAGCACCCCGAATGACAAAAGCAATCGTACTGCGGACAGAGGTTTAGCTTAAAGTGGTTGACTCAGTTTATGGGCTGCCTGCTGACTGGCAGTGCGGGTTTAATGAACCTGCGAATTTATCGACAATAAACGATTCGCTATAATTGGCCCATATATAATCGTTGCGATTAGTCGGCTGATTAGTCGGCTTAACTGTGACGTAGCACTGCCGGTGGGTGTTCCCGCCATTCATCTAAATGAATCGCGGCGGATCTCTGTGCCGTGTGTCTTTATAAGCGGCTAATTAAAACGTTGCTAATGTAAATGAAGCCTTAGGACAGGAGCTCCACTCCATTTCAGCTCCTCCGCAGCGCCTCTTTCAACTTCACGGCATGCTGTGGCAAATGCTTTAAAATTCAGTAGCCAAACACGCAAGCGCCAGCAGCCAGCAGTCAAGAGACAAGAGTTAAGAGCTCAGAGTGTGCCTGTCATTCAGACCCGAACAGCGAGCTCCAAGCACCGAAGACACTTAAAAAGACTAAAAGACTGGGTTTGCGGACCCAAACGAAGACGGGGTTGATAAACGAGGTCCGCGGGGTGGGCTCATACACAGGGAAAAACATAACAATCTCGGTTCCTTATCGCCAGATTAATGATCTACTCAGTTAGTTTATTATCTACATCATTTGGGGTGACATACAGCGAAAATAATGCTCCAAACATGCGAATCGGGATAACATATCTTGTAAAAATGCATGAGAAAGTACCCCATAAAGTATGAAAAACAAATTCGATTTATAAATTTCCTTGAACATATTATAATTTAATCCGTTTTTGATTAATATTTATATTTTAAAGAGGAAGTGCATTAAAAACCAGATAAAAGGAGTACATTTTACACTGACTAGTTGGCGATTAAATAAATTTATTTTTCCAAAAGCACTCCCAAGCACTCAGAAATATAAGTACTTTGGTTTATTGGCCTAACAACATTTTTTTTTAATTGCCAAAAAACTTCAAAAAAAAAATAATATTTTATACAAAAAGAAACTACAAAATGTACCAAGAAATTAATGTTAAACTCTTAATAAGATGTACAATTTAACGTAAAAAGTTTAAGTTCGGAGAATTCGTCGAATTCGGAGATAGTGATATGTAACTGCCTTTTTGGTCATGTAAATTATCAATAGCACTCACAAAAATTCTTTATTTTAGGCAAAATAAACCTATACGTTTTGTCATTTAAGTTATTTTTGCACTGTGACGGTCTAAGCTGTTTATTTTGGCGCCCCGTGCCCGCGCCATTTATTCGTATTGCTTCCGTCAGCATTAAACATATTACTCTTAATAATGCCTAAAAGTCGGTTCACACACGGCGCCTGAAATGGGAGTGAATCGGCACCATAATCAGAATCAGAGTCAGAGGCACGAAGACGCACACGAAGAAATGCACAGACAGTGGATACTGGATACATAGATGCATGCCACTAGGCGTTTGCAGCTTGTTCGTGATTTGTGTAGTCTAATCGTTAACAATTACAATTACAATTAGGCCTCTGACTGCCCGTTCTTCTGACAGGTGGTGCGTGCAGTTGGCTGTGAGAACTGGTATTCGCTATATATCTATATTTATATATATATCTATATATATATATATATATATAGAGAGAGAGAGAGAAGTTCAGATTCCATTGGCCATTTGGCACATGCGAGAGCTTACGCACTTCAACACACAATGTTTAAACCGGAGGCCTAATTGCCGGCAGTTCTGCTGCCATGGCTAATTAATATTTAAAGTGTCTTGGCAACGAGACTTAAGACAGAAGATGGGAAGTTGTACTATACAATTCGAGAGTTTTTGCGGTTATGTCATTTCGTTTGTGTTTTTTTCTGGGGTCCCAAATTTTAGATAGTCTCTGTGGTCAAGAAAGCTGGTGAAAGATGTCTGGGCCCTGGGAAAGTTGGAAATGCCTTTATATAATCCCGCACCGCGTTAGTTGCTTTTACTTGTTTTAATTAGAGGCTCATAAAACGGTGCCTCGAAGGGAAGTGATTTAATTAAAGCACGTTTGCTTAAATTTCGCCATAAAATATGACCATTTTCGCTGATTTACCGCATAGATTTCTGGCTCATTGGGTCACAGTTTTCACCCAAGGTCGAGAGATTCCTCTTTCAACCATACAACACTCCCAATCCACGTCAGCAGCTCACGCAAAAGTGTTTGGAAAAATGCCACGAACACCATTTGCCATTCCAATTAAATTGTGATGAGGGCAATAATGCACAGAATCCCTTGGAGCGCCCCACGCACTTGGAATGGAGTTTTTAGAGTCCGCAGGCCTGTCAATAATCCAAACCGTAAAAGTACATAAAACCATTTGGCACTCAGAAATGAAGAGCAGACCTAAAGCCCTACCTCAACGAAGGCTTCGTGTTACCGCCAACTGCTTTTGTTGTCGTAGGTTCATTTGTAACTAATTTGTGCACAGTATCGTAAAGACAAAGGAGCTTCCAGCCAGACTGGACCCCTATCCCAATCCCAATCCCCAACCCAATCCCGACCTAAAGTCTTAACCCTATTCTTCTTCAACCAAAGAATATCTTTTTTAATTCTGTTTTGTTAATCGTTTAACACAACTGAACGAAAGGTTATAAAACTTATACTTTGTCAACATAAGTATAAGATGAATGGATAAATCAAAAAATCTGCGATATAAAAATGGAAACCACAATATAAATAAAACTTAAAAATTCTCAAATTAATTTGTAAGCATTATTCAATCCATGTTATCAAATCAAACAGAACAAAATAATCAAATGTATGCAAATACATACAGTTTTATATCTGCTGTGCCGAAATTTGTACAAATTAGCTAAAGATTATGATGCCAAAAAACAAAAAAAGTTTGTTATCATATTGGTAACTTCATTATAGTCAACTTTAAATTTGAAAACCTTTATGTTAGAGACAGAGGAATGGGAATATTATTTTGGGAACTCTAACTTTTATTTTAGATAAATAATGAAGTATTAAATCTTCTTTAATTATTACATTTATTTATAGAAATCAAAAAATAGAATGAGTCTTTTGCAGAGGGTTAAAGAAGCTGGACCAGCTGCCGAGGTGTAATCCAATCGAGAACCGACTGACTGGTCAAGTGGTGTTGGTGTTGGATTTCCTGCCCGGTTTTCTGCTTTCTGTTCGAGGGGAGCCGAGAAATGTAAAGCTGATGAATTTGTTAAGCGAATGGCGGGCGATTGAGGTGCGGAGGCAAATGCAAATCCCCCCAAGTGCAATTGGCAACTGTAACAGTAAGTGGACAAACAATAAACTGGCTAATTTATAGCCGCCCATCATCCGAAGATCATCTGCCATCCGGCTAACCAGTTGGCTTCTAGGACCTCACACATTAATAAATCCAGCAAGTGCGCGCTCCGCACGTTGCCGCTGATGATGACGACAGAGAGGCAGCGACGTCGGCAGAAGCAGAAGCAGCGGTAGCGGCAGAGACTGATTTTTGATTTAAGAAGAAAAGAAGAGAAAAAAACAAACTACAAACAGTCCGCAGATCTCATTTATTAGCCGCACTCCGAGGCGTTCACAACGTTCAAAAAGCTGCGCGCTTAAGTTGAAACTCAAACAGAAACAGAAAAAACCGTTGCGTCGGCAAAGCAGTGCGAGGAAAACGCGAAAAATTAACGCGAGAAAAAGTGAATTTAATCGTAGAAAAATTAAAATAAACGTGCGCTCAGCATTACTCATAAATTAATTTACACAATTTATGCAAGTAAACATCTTCACTTGAAGGACACCCGGGCCATAAATTTCACAATCAACTAAATATAGCTAAGGAAAATCAGTAATCAACTTGGCCAACAGGCAGCTGCCATCACAGCCATTTAAAGTGAGTGCGATTAGAACATGGTCGTATGGCCATAGAACGTTAAATCGTTTGCAATTGACGGCTGGCAGGCGGTTCATTAATAAGTTTATAATTGTTGCCCCCCATCCGCATCGAGTTCGTTGCCTGAGTCTTTCGTTTGCAGCGAGTTTGCTGCCTAAGTCTTTCGTTTCGCTACCCCCCGTTTCGAGTTTTTCTTTTCACCAGAGTGAGGAGCGCGGGATATGATTAATCATGGCCAGCCAGCATCACGAAAATGACCTTGGCAATGCGGTTGATACAGGCGCAAAAATAAAACAGCCTTAGATAATTGAAGTCAGTGAGTGGACAAATTAAATTTAGTTTTTCAGTTTCAGTTTCTGGTTGCTGAACTCTGCGAACTGCGTGTCATTAGGGTTTCAAACAATTAAATTGTAATGAGCCCGGACTATAATGTGTGTGTGTGGTCTCTAGAGATTCGCATTTTGCCAAGACACTTTGTTCCATTATCACTGCGATCCCTGATCACCGCCATCATATATCATATATCATGCGGGGCTTGTGATCAGCCAACAAAACAAATATCCAACTTTCTGCAATTTATTTGTTTTTTTATTTTTTTTGGGAATTCTGCCAGACTCGAGAACTAGACAAATGTCTTTATCGGAAAAACATACAACTCGGAGAAGAGATTTGCATAGACACAACCTGTTGAAACGGTGGGCGAACCGCTGACGCCCCTAGTTAGTCCCAAAATTCATTTCATACACAACGATCCCTGGTTTTTCGGCTGATGCGGCGATCAATTTATTTTCCACCGGCTCATTAATCACTGAAGCGTTGAAATCTGCGCCGCATATGGCGCTCGACTCGCTCATTAGGGTAATTGCCTGGCCGGCATCACTTTGATTAGCGTGCATTAAATGCTTTGATTTAAATCAAATCGAAACGAAAATTATCTCTGGCATGTAAGTGCTTCAGTTTATCTATACATATAGTAAAGTATCATACATGTGTATGTGGAGAACGTGAGAAACTTTACAATGTAAAGGCGAATCATTTTGCGCTTTGATGGGCACAGACAATTTATTTGTTATTAAATTATTCGGCTTTGGCATGTGACTTGCAGAAAATCGCATTGGCCACTATATTATTATTATGATTGCGGGCAGTTGGCGATCGAGTTGGCCACTTCGGTTGCTGCCACAGCCACCGCCACCGCCACCCATCGATCAAAACCTTGAACAATCGGACAAGCTGTCGAGTGGGGCGTGGGTGGCACTCAGCACTTTCATTGCCTGTCGCCTTGACATTCTCCCACCTCTCACAAATGCTTATCCAGATGACTGCTTTTTTATATTTTATTTGTTGCTCAATTGTTAAAGCTCAAATAGGCACCCCAAATTGCGATCTTTTCTGGATATCAAAAAGCCCTGTTCAATTCATTAAATGCGTTATTTGTGAATAAATTTCCTGTCCACTCTTAAACTAAATGTTTAGTTTAAGTTCCTGTTTAGTTTAAATTCCTGGTCAATGAAAGCTTATTGTTCATAAAAACGAAACTGAAGTGTAATTTATTTATAATACTAAATGTAATCGAATCGGCAAATGTCCATACATACTGCTTTTTTAAAACTTGTTAAATACTTTTAAAAAAACTATTTTTGGTAATATTTTCTGAAATCTACTTTAAAACGAACTTCTGTTCGAAAAATCATATTTAATTTTAATTTTAATTAATTTTTTTATTTATTATCCCAGTACGACAAGGTTTAGCTTTAGTTTGAAAAGTCATTAAGAGTTATTTATAATATTTTATATTAAATTTCTATTAATAGAAAAGGAATAATATTTCTTGGCAATTTCTAGAATAATCTATATAATTCTAAAGAAATAAAAATATGTTATTTCAAAGCCTATATGAATAGCAATCTCACAGTATCAAGAGTGTTTCTGTAAATGTTATTTTCCTGAGGAGTTCAGAAATCAAACCATTTTTTTATAAATAAATTTAAAAAACCTTAATTGTGTAAGTGCTAAACCTTGCCAAACCTAAACCTTGTGTAATATTTTCTATTCAAGTTCTAAACGCCCACCTGTTTGCCCTTTTTCAGAATGTCGCCGCTGCTTCCATTGGCTACTTTAATCATCTTGGCCAACTTGGTGGCAGCCCGACCCTACTCCTACGGTCCAAGGGCCGATGCAAATGGGCCGCCCACGAGATTGGCCAACCGGATTGTGGTGCAGTCGCCGTCGCTGGACAACTTGTACATGGACTACGTGGTCACCTCCAAGCCGCTGAATCTGCGCAAGTACAACAAGAACGGCAGTAAGACGAAAAAAACGAAAAAGGATTCGAAAATCTATTACATACCCGTACCCCCACTGCCATTCCGTCACATACCCGGCATCGGTTTGGACTATCAGCCGATGAAAATCAATCCCATTCTCCAGGGCACGGAGAAGACGACCACAACGTCGCCGACGACGACAACGACATCTAGGCCCAAACTGGACCATCGGAATCCCAGTAACGTGTACCGGGTGGAGCACCGAAAGGACTACTACTTCAATGGTCGGCCACACCGACTGCAGGTAGCACATGCTGGTGCAAAATCCGGACTGACGGCCCTCAACCTAAAGTCCAACTTCTACTATAACAAAAACATTATTTATTAGTACCCATAGTTAGCAAATAATAAAAAAGAAAAAGAAAACGAAAACGGTTGCTTTGATTCGGGGCGTTTCGTAAGCGAATAGTTTAAGAGGCTTTTGTATGGGAAACGGCAAAACCTTTCATCTGGATCGCATTTCCTATGAGCCGAATTGACGAATTGACAAAACCCCCCGAATTGGGTCAAAATCAAGCAAAAGAAATCGCTGAAAGCTGGGGGAGCCATTAAAACTGATGATATCTGTTCGGATCATGATATAATAGTTAGGCATCATTATTAAGACGGCTTCCGCATCGGTAGCATCATCGGTAGCTTCAAATCATCAGCTTTACGTGTGGTCCGACCATCTCTCCAATCCATTTAGTAAAAGTAATTACTGTCACCGTTGTCTTTGCGCATGCCAAATGCCTCGAGTTGTGCAATAAATAATAATAAATAATAAGGAGCTCAAAAGTGGCAGATTGAATTGGGCAGACGATGAATTTCTGGCAATTAGAAAATATTTATGGCTATGCAAATTCATACATAAATGCCCAGTGGAGTTGAGGAGCTCATTAGATGATTGGGTGCTTTCACTTGTGAAAATTCAGTGCGTATGCGTGAGAAAACTTAAGCACAGTTGGAATTCTCTCAGTGGAACTTCTTGATCATAAACTGATTAAAGTTGATGTTGTTTTTGATCGTTTCCATTTTTATAATATATATTTATATAGCCATTTCATTACCCGAATTCATTTGTTTAACGTTTAAGACCTTTTTTAAAAGTTAATAAAAATTCAGATTTTAAGCTTATAAATTATAATTTTAGAAATTTCTATTGTACCTAAAAGAATATTCATAATAAAGCCATAATACCCTGATTTTATTCGTTTAACGTTAAAGACATTTTTATAAGTAATCTATCTTACCAAAAAGACTTTAATCTGATCAAGTTTAAAATGTGGTTTAATTTAAATGTGGTTAATTTCTTAATGATTATGAGAATTGTTTTTATGACAAGACTTAGATTTTGAGATGTCTGTTAATGGTACAATTAGCTCCACTGTATTGGAACCCGATAAAATTAGGGCCAAAACGGCGTTATTGGCCTACAACCCGTTGCCACAACAGGGCGCCTAGCAGCGGCTGAAAAATGTTATTGAACAAATTTATGGCTCCATTCAACCCATCCTCTTTTTTCTGCCCATATCTCAGCAGGCAGTTTTTACACTTAATTTGGAATTACCCGACTACAAACTATTATTCGCTCCCAGTTTGATAGATATATTTTGTGTGCGGCAAGATGAGCGTGGAGGAGCATGCCCCGGAGTATGTGTGCAATGTGCAACTCCATGTGGAGCCCGGTGAGCGGCCCAAGTTGCCGCCTGGTTGCCCTCCTCCGTTGGACAGCGGCAGTACCGAATCGGAGCCACAACACTCGGAGGAGTGCTGTGTGGAGCTGGAGAACGTGACGGTCAAGTTCCGGCTCACGGAATCCGACATCCTGGCCCAGGTGTATCCCAACTGCTTGACCCTGGGCGAAGTTAAGCAGGACATTGCTCGCAAATTCGAAGTGGAACCGGGATCATTGGTCCTACGGCAGGATAATCGCGTGCTCTGCGATTCCCTGCCCCTCAACTCCACGGCCCTGGATGAATACGGCATCCATGAGTTCCAACTGGAGCTGTGTGCGGAGGGCAGTCCCTCCTCCAAACTGGATCTGGACGTCTACTACGAGTGGGTATCTAAATTTTATTTGATTACAAAAGTCTTTAAAAATACCTTCCATTATCATCAGCAAACATCGCTTGGCGGACTTCATCACTGTCCACATTTCTGGAGAGGATACCCAGGATGGTCAATCCAAAAACGTGGTGGTGGAGATTGAAAATGCGGCCATCGTCAAACCTTTCTTGTGCGGCTACCGGGATAAAAACACTGGCAAGGAGTATTTGGATGCCTTTACCCAAACTGGTCCCTATTTCGACAAGATGAAGTACAGGAAATACAAGACTAGGGATACGCAAACCTGGGAGCAAAAGGAGAAGACTCTGGTGGGCTCTCAAACGATATTTTTTAATATTTAAAATTGATTACCCATCAATCTCCACCAGAACACAGCCCATGAGCAGTCGGTGCAATGCCATCTGGATGGCACTAACATCCTGTATGTATCCGCAGTCAATGAATTTACTATTGTTCCTGGCAAGTACCAGACTTTTGCCCAGAAGGAGCGAGCCGAACGAAAGCTCGAGAAGATTCTGCTCATACAGCGGAATTGGAGGCGCTGGATTTTATGGAAATATATCCACATGAGGGCTAGAGAATATCGGTGGGTAAATTATATATACAGTTGCTGCAAAATAGTAGTAGTTTTTAAACTTACTAAAATCAGAAATTTTTTTTTTATATTTTTGTTAAGTTAAAACTTGATACTAAATAGGACAAATCTAAAAATCCCACATTTATCATAGATATATTATTCAAAACTATTTTTAAAAACGGTTCATATAAAAAAAGTGTTTTTAAAATTTACTTAAAATTAAATCTCATAATAAAAACGTTTTTATTCCTTTGCAAGAGCAGGTAAACGAGGATTTATAGTTATGTTCTAAAATGATTTAAAAGCATACTTTAAGGAGTTATTGACAGTTTTATTTCCTTCGAAGAACTAAAATAACATCATAGGCTTATTTAATGTAATTTTGTTCATCGACAAGTAGGCATTATGATAAATTAAAAGAAAGGGTGTTCTTTGCCTTAAACGCACTTTTCATTGTTCCACAGCTAATATTTTAACCGCATCTATGTATTTAATAGTTAATTAAATCTGAATGACATTTTCTTGACCAGTCGCCTGGTCCAAAATCGCGAGCAGGAGGATGAGCGTTATGAAAAGTGCGTGGAGCAGCGTGTGGAGCGGCATCGAGTGATCAAGCAATTTCCCCGCAACAAGGACGACTTCGATCTACTGTTCGCCGAGGTGGGTCGCTGGAAAAAGGCTGAGCTGAAGCGGATTACAGCCAACTACGAAGGTCCTGCCCGCATCGCTGAGGTGAACATCCTGCTGGACAAGGAGATCCAGCTGCTGAATGGCGTGGAGCGACAGCGCAATCTGGTTTACAAGGCCATGGAGGATTTCCGCAATGACCAACTACTGAAGGAAATGGGTAAGCCGATCGAGTGGATCGGCTACAAGGACACCAAGATCCACATGGATCTGTTGAGCACACAGCGAGTGCGCTTTCTCACGGAGATCTACAAGGATCTACGAAAGCCACGCAACAAGGAGGATCGCTTGAACTTCATCCGCCAGGTCATGACAGTTTTAACCGAGGAGACTTGCTATCCCAATTTTCCCGAGCTCTTCGATCTCTTTGAACGTGAGAAGAATCTAATGCTCTACGCCAAATCCTTTGATGTGGAAATTTTGCGCAAACGCCAGACCATGTTGTTCTTTGATTTGATAAAGTTTCAGAAGGACAAGCCCAAGGAGAGTGAGTATGGATCATTAATTCTTTGAACATTTTTAATATGTTCTACCCAGGAACTCCATCGCGCATGTGCATTGTGTGCAAGAAGGTTAAGACCTATGCGGAGTTTGCCATCAGGACTCGTCAGAGTCATGTGGACACCTGCAAGCACTGCTACTATCTTAAGGTGGATGCTGCATAGATTACTTTGATATGATATAATAAGATCCACTTACCCACAGCTAACGGCCACAGAGAATACGGTGTACCAGTCCATCTTGAGATGCATCCATCGGGATGAGCGCAAACGCAAGTGCACCACGTCCTTTGCCTTTGTGATGCAGCCAGATGATGTGCGCCACATCATAGACAAGATATGGCATGGACACTCGGCCCTCAGCAAGACCGAGAATCTCAGCGAACTGAGGTGAGTTCTCTACGAGATAACTTATAAATATTATTAAGTATAATTATTCTCCTGCAGATTGCCGCGCTGGAACAAGAGCGATGACTGGGCACCTTGGAACTGTGTTTGCCTCACGGAGCGAGAGACGCGAGATCACTACAAGATCGATGACATCGAGAAGGTGTACGATGCCAAGTTCATTCTGCACATTGGCAATCTGCACATGCTGGCCCGCAGTCTGTTCCACACCTTGGCTGCCGTGGCCATCGAGTTCCAGGAGACGGGTCAGTGGTGGAAGGTGGGCATGAACAAGCAGCGCTCCAGCAAACTGGATGCCATTTAAAATAAACTTAACTTATGGCTATCATAACTTATGGCTAGACACACTCTCAATCATTTGGGTTTAGCTTGTAATTCAGCGCCTAATTTAACATTTACAAAATTTAAACAATTCAAATATTGATCAATCATTACAAGGAGAATTAAATAAAACTACAACTGCAATTATTTGCTACTTGCAATCGCCTTGAACTTTGCCTCCAAATACTGAACGCGCTTCAGTAGTTTGTCACTGGTGCTGAACTCGTTGTAGGGCACGGGAATCACGTGGTAGCCACTCTTTTCCAGCAGGTCAAATGTCAAGTTCGTAACGCCGCTGCCACTGCGATGCGTTCCGTGGCAAATGTCATGGAAATCAATGACCATCAGGGCCACCCTAAAAACAGTAGAGCATAAATACCGGCAAGAAAGTGAAAGAGATTTGGGATAAATCACCTAATGGCTTTGGGGTTTTCCTTGTCCAAGGGCAGGGGATTTCTGTTAGCATCAAAGTGGCACACGGCATCTGGAATGAAAGAGGATCAGGGAAATTGTTCGACTAAAAAAGGGGTATCATACCTATAAGGAAGCCCATTTTACTGTCCACCGCGCTCTGGAAATGATTGCTGGCCGGCAGCAGGCTTTTAAGAGCATCCAGCATGCCATTGACTAGCACTTGTTTTGCCTTGGGATGCGCCATGGGCACCTGGTAGGCAGGACTGTCGGCGGACAGCAGAGGACCCTTGTAGTCTGTGGCTAATAGCTGGGCATAGCTGTTCAGATTGAGCAGCCTCATTTTGGAGGTGGCTGTGATGCCAGCCTTGTCCTTTTGCAATTTCTCTAAGAAGTCCGCACTGCAAGTACATTATAAAAATAAAATTGAAAATTTTAAGGTTTAAGTTTAAGGACAAACCTCAAAACTGAAGCCAGATGACTGTGTTCCACTAGACCCAGCATTGTGAGTGACCACACAAAGCTCAGCCACTCGGATTGCTTGGTGAAGTCTTCACGCACAATGGATTTCACCAGCTTGTTGCTCACTTCCTCCAACTGGGCGCTCTTGAAGTTCAGCAGGGCCGAGGTAAGGAAGTAGGCGCTGAGATCTTGGGGACGGCAGATTTCGCTGTTTCTCAAGAGCCACTGCGTCAGGGATTCCAGGATATCTAGAGCAAATCTGCCTTGATTAGCAGTTATGACTTGGAGTGGCTATATAGGTAAACTAACCCAAGTCCCGGTAACGCAAGATGCCCAGGCTGGTAATGATGGATCCCACAACGGCGGACTTCTCCACGTTCTTGGGCAGCGCCGTTTGGACATCCGCGCAGACCTTGGCGCCTAGCACAGAGTCCTGGAAATTCAGCGTGGACATGGCGTACAGCACATCCGCTGATTGCTTCAGATCCAGTGCCTCCGATGCGCTGCTAATGTTGAAAGCCAGGGAGCGCAAGAGCGGAGTGCTACGCCGCTTCCTCTGGGCCAGCGTGCTCATCACCTTGACCATCTGGGGCAGACTGATGCTGGCTATCAGCTTGGCCGCCTCATCATCGCCAGCTACGCCTAGCACCGTGTTCAGATCGTCCGTCCGGAAGCCGGAAATCCGCTTGGCCTGGCCATTGCTCTCGCCCAGAGTCTTGCTGTTGCCTCCATTCCCACTTTTAGGCACAGTCCTGCCCAACATGCGGCAAATCCGCAGGAATCTGGTGTCGTTCTCGAACTCCGAGATCTTCACCCGATCCAAGGTGCTCCACTCGGCCAGAATGGAGACAATCCTGAGGGCATGCTTCCGTGAGAAGGCGTTGTTGCTCTCCGTGATGGACAGCAGTCCGTTGACTGTCTTGGCATTGATGATGCGCTCGTCTATCTTGCTGGAGGCCAGGTTCTTGCTCTCATCCTTGGGATTGTCGTTTTTCAGGGACTCGAAGGCGGCGGCCACCATGTTGCCTGTTCGTATTGGAGCACCAACTGGTTAGCAATGTATAGGAGGTTTAAGGAGCTATCTACCTCGCGGTTTTCTGGCCACCGCCTCTGCAGCCGGCGTGCGTGCTTCCGGCTGCACTGCATCTGCATCCGATTGACCACCTGGGGTGTGGGTGTTGGCCAGTGGAACGCCCGCCGCCCGCACATTGCTGCTGTAGGCGGCTCGGCGGTATAATTGGCTAACAAAGCTGCCGGTAAAACGTTGCAGTCCCAACATTTTCAGTCAATCTACACGCTGCAAGAAACCACAGAAGTTTACATAACCTTTTTGTTTACATTTTGAGCGGGCAGTTTTCCGTTTTTTATCGTATGCCAAGGCCACAGCCTTATATTTATGACTTGTTATAGCCTTTTTTCATTGAAATCATTTATGTTTCATTTAGTAAATCCTTTAATTTAAGCAAACTTTCCTATTGAACGTTGAGAATCCACAGATGACGGCAGCGTTCAGCTGTTTGCTAGTGTTGATTAACGACCGCATAACGTTTTCCAAAGTCTTGCCACACTGCCCAAGTCAAGAGGCAATTTTGCAACACTGGGGACAGCTCACCAAAAAAAAATTAGCTGCTGTGATTTTGTTTTACAATTTTCGTTTAAATTTTTACATTTTTGTTTGGCGGATAGCGCGGGTGCGAGTCAAGTGCGCAATTTCCATGCAAAAGTGCAAAACGCGAGTGCAAAAACACACATACGAGAACGGCACGCCAAGCGAAAACGAGTTCGACGTCTCTTGTTGTAGTTGGATTTTCCAGCCACCTTTCGACGAGATTGTGTGAAAAATTCCGAAGCATTCGACAGCTCCAAAATGGTGGATAAGTTCATCAGCATGTGGAAAGTGCGCGAATTGGCGGACAAGGTGTAAGTGATCAGGAGTACTTAACTATTGGGCTGTGTGTATAACAAGCCCCTTCAAATCGAGTGACTGTGGAGCCTCCCACGCCCCAAGTTCCCGATTTCCCGCCACGCCCCCTACTCCACAAAGCTCTATCCTTCCCAAAACTCTGAGTATCATCAGAAAGATCTCATTAATGGATGCACTGCATCAGGGAGTTGGATTAGGTGCACATTTTTACCTGTTTTCAAGGTTGTTCGTAATTCCAAACGAGCTTTACACACACAACCACATTCCGATATGGATATCCATGTGAGTGTGTGCGTGAGTGTGTGTGAGGCTTTATCAAGAAACAATTTGTTTGCTTCGACTGCCCAAATATAACAAAATGTTTCCACCTGTGCTAACACTTCCACTTCCAGGCTTTCCAGTGAAACGGGTGTTTGTGTTTCGCCATCGAATTATTAATTAAGGTTGCCCCCTTTCACCTGCCCCCTCTATGGTGGTGGTGCCATCTAAAATGGCTATAGTTCCAATAAATTAAAGCCAATGGAGCTGCTATAATGTCACTCAAATCATTAGGCTAAGTGAAGTTACTACAGGGGATTCGGGTACACTTTTTCTAGCCCTTATCTCGAACTGATAAGGAATAACTAGCTGGAACTGGGCCGTTCCATCACGTTTCCAATGTCTATCAACGTCGCAGTCTTATTATTTATTTATTTATCTCTATCTGGGCTATGTAAAGCTGTATTGTCACACACCATTTATTTCAAGATACCTGTTCTGATTAACCGGGGCTTTATCTGTTTGTATATCGAGTCAATTGAACTTATCAATGCATTAAACAAATAGGCTTTCTTTAACTTTACTACTGGAAGCTTTACGTGGTTAATGTTTTAAACTTACGAATAATGATTAACGTCCCTTTATAACTTTTTTTAAAATCAACTAAATTTAATTGTTTATACTTTTTAAACAGTAAAGTTTTGGGTTAAGGTACATATATATATATAGCTTTTCTTTTAAGACTCTTATAGGAAAGATGAAATCATAATATTTTTAATATCACATACCATAAACGTAGCTTGATTTACAGGTTTAAAAGTGTTTTTGCGATCTAATTTGGTTAGCTGACTTAAGGCCTAGATATGTTTTAGTCATCTCAAGCAATATTTAGAAGCTAGATTTGATTTACAGCATTTTAATCTCTTGCCAAATCCTCTTGCAGCACCAATGTCGTAATGAATTACACGGAGACGGAGGGCAAGGTGAGGGAGGCCACCAACGATGATCCCTGGGGACCCACTGGACCACTCATGCAGGAGTTGGCCTACTCCACTTTCTCCTACGAGACGTTCCCCGAGGTGATGTCCATGCTGTGGAAGCGCATGCTGCAGGACAACAAAACCAACTGGCGACGCACCTACAAGGTATGCATTAACTTTAGATGAGTCAATAAAGTTATTTACCAAATTCCCTCACTTCCAGAGTCTACTTCTGCTAAACTACTTGGTGCGGAATGGCTCCGAACGGGTTGTGACCTCCTCCCGGGAGCACATCTACGATCTGCGCTCGCTGGAGAACTACACGTTCACCGACGAGGGCGGCAAGGATCAGGGTATTAATGTTAGGCATAAGGTACGAGAGCTTATAGACTTCATTCAGGACGACGATCGGTTGCGCGAGGAGCGCAAGAAGGCGAAAAAGAATAAGGACAAGTACATTGGCATGAGCAGCGATGCCATGGGCATGCGCAGCGGTGGCTACAGCGGTTACAGTGGAGGCGGCGGCAGCGGCGGTGGCTACAATGATGGTGGCGACTACCGCTCTAGCCGTGGCGACAATTGGTGTAAGCTAGAAGTTCATTTCTGAAGGCTACACACCTTCCATAAACTATTCTTAGTAATTAATGATGTATATTTTATCTACAGACTCTGACAAGAACGCCGACAAGGATCGCTACGAGGATGATGATACTCACTACGATGGAGAGCGCGAGGGATCCGACAGCGACTCACCCAGTCCAAGGCAAGTGAACGACAAGCTCCCACTGAACATGACTAAATAATTAATGTTACTTTTACCACCTCAGACGTAACTATCGCTATAATGACCGCGCCAGTCCCGCCGAAGTGGCCAGCGAGGCCAAGCCCTCCAGCCTCAACATGAACATTCGCTCGAAGACTGTCAGCTCGCCGGTTTCCAAGCAGCCCACTTCAACGGTGGCCGCCAAGCCGACGCTGTCCCAGAAGAAGATCGATCTGGGTGCGGCGGCTAACTTTGGAAAGCCAGCGCCAGGCGGTGCTGCCGGCATTCACTCGCCCACGCACCGCGACACACCCACCAGCGTGGACCTAATGGGCGGCGGCTCGCCCTCACCGTCCACTTCCAAGGCCAACAATAATACGCAAAGCAATAATAACGATCTGCTGGACGATCTGTTCAAGACTTGCTCGCCACCGCCAGCGCAGGAGCAGACACTGAACAGCGCCGCAGTGATCGTGGACGACGACGACGATGACTTTAATCCGCGGGCCAGCGATGCTGGCCAGCAGGAGTTCGGAGACTTTGCCGCCGCCTTCGGTGGCAATCCATCTGGATCGGCGCTCAGCGAGCCACCATCAACGGGCCTTGTTCCGGCTGTCAACGATGAGTTCGCCGACTTTGCTGCATTCCAGGGATCGACTAGCTCGACTTCCGCTCTGGACGGGAATCTGCTGAAGACGGCCACGCCGGCGAACGATTCCTTTGACCTGTTCAACGCTGCTCCCGCCGCGACGGCGGCGGCCACAACGGCCACGGATCTCCTGGCGGGCCTGGGCGATCTGTCCATACACCAAAGCATGCCCATGGGTGAGTTGTAGTTTGATACTCGTAGACTAACCTACTTTTAAGTTTGAATTAAGCTTAGGATTAGAGTACTTGTCTTGGCTTTAGTCACTACATGATATTGTATTTAGGAATCGCTGCATGACGGCGCGTCTCCCGAGCTTGACTAGAGCCATTATCTCTACCTCGAGCTCCCCCAGACCCACACACAAAGATACACTCTCACACACATCCTTCCACACAAAAACGGCAACATATTCCAATCGGATGCACTCGTTCTCTTCTCATTCTCTCTCGCAGCTGTCGAAGAGCAGTTGGCATCCGGTGGCGATTCGATGTCGCCGTCTCCGCCTTCCCCGCCGTCGGAGGCAGTGCGTCTGGCCCTGGCCAAGGCGCAGAGGCAGCTGCGCGACTTGGGGCAGGTGCAGAGCGCCTCGGCCACCGCCCAAGTGGCATCCGTTCTGCGGGAGCTGCTGCACGCAAACGCCCTTCCCGGCTTTGCCACCCCGGAGCAGTTGGTGGGCCTCGATCGTCAGACGTGCGACTGGAGTTCGCTGGCCAACAAAGAGTATGCCGCCTTGGTGAACCAACTAGTGGAGCTATTCAGCCAGGATTGGCCAGAACCGTCGCGGGATGTGGATGTGCTGAATCTTTTTAAACTCGATCACAGCTTTGATTACATACGGGTTGCCTTTGAAGCGCTGCTGGGAAAATTGAATCAGTTTCCGGGTACAATCACATCGTTGCTGCAGGATCTACTCAAAGATGATGGCCTAATTGCTATCGCCTTGCTGCACATCTCCCGCCAGAGAGGATCTTTGATGCAGCGGTTCGCCAGGACCATTAAAGTAATGCCGGAAAGGCGTGTGGAGGAGCTGGATGCCCAGGTGAAGGCGTTCTTTCAGCTGCTCATCGGACTGCCAGCCCAGGTGGCCAATCGGTTGGGTCGCAAGCTGCCGGAGATGTTCGCCCCTGTTGCTTACCAGCGGCTCCTGCTGCGCCAGTGGCTGAAATCCCTGCACTTTGTGCTGCAATGCGATGATAGCGAGGATTGCTTTGATCTGGAACCCTACTCCTGGCTTCTCTCACAACTCGTAAATCTAATTTTCGATGGACCAACGTTGGAGGGTTTCCTGCGAGTGCTTAAGGACTATGCGGTGGCCCCCAGAGGAAGGAAATTAGTGCATACCATTGTGAAGGAACTTGATCCTGCAGCTTGTGTGAAAACCGCTCAATCGGCGCTTTCGGCGGAACTGAATCTCTACGTACTTTTAGGGGCTTCCGCCCTGGAGACTCCCCACTGGAAGCACTGCCTGCTCCAGAAGTTGCCACTCCAACGGACTCCGGTGGAAAACAAGCAACTTAAGACTTTGGCGAGCTATCTGAATGTCGTGGCTCCTGCTCAACTGCAGGTGCTCTTTAATCAACTGCTGGGAATCTGGTCAAAGCGAATCTCCTTGCATAAACTGGGCAGCCAAGAGCACTTGGCCATATCCAAATTGATTGTGCTGGCCAGTAAATGCCTTTCCCGCAGTCTTCAAATGGATTTGGACACCAAGCGTCAGCTGCACGATGGACTGAGTCACCATTTGCAGTCGCCAGATGCACTGCAGCGACATGTGGGCATGAAGACAGTAGAGCTGCTCTTCAATTTTATGGCTTTGCCTGATACAAAGGAGGAAGATCGCCTAAAATTCGATTACGATTCAATGCGTGAAACTCGGCAGTGGCACATCTTTGAGGAGTTTGATGAGCTGGCTCGCTTTGAATGCCCCAGCAAGTCGAAATCAGATGAGAAGCCAGGTGAAGAGCAGTTGAAACAGTTGGAGTCACATCTCAAAGAGTTTATGAGTAACTCAGAGGAAAAGGAGCAGCTCAATCGCCATAAGATTGAAACCAAAGCAAAGCCACCTACCAAAACAGAAAGTGTCAGCATGCAGCTGGACTCGGATGACGATGAGCCACTGGATGAAGACGATGACGATGATTTGAAGCCCTACGATATGTCCAATGACATAACCAGCACCATTGAGGAGCGCCCCAAATTCGTTATAGACTTGCTGCAACTTCTCCGCACAAAAGTGGAGAATTACCAAGTGTTTGAGGGCGCTTTTGGTACGGCCGAGCAGCTTATTCGTGGCCAGCTGGCCAGGCATGACACTCAGTTGGCCATTGATCTGCTGCAGCTATTCCTCGTCATGGAAATGCAGTTCTACTATGAGCACTTCGAGCGCACACAATTCAAGTGCTGTGTGGCCATTTGTGTTTCGCATCCGGGAGCCTGTGCCGAGTACTTGTGCCGCCAGTTTCACACGGATAACACCTGCTATGCGGCCAGTGTGCGCATCCTGATGCTCCAGGTGCTGGCAGCGGCGGCCAAAGAACTATCTGGCGACGAGAAGCAGGAAGCTGAGAGTGAAATCCTGGACATTGTGCCGCCTGCAGCCAAGCAGCCGCGCAAGTTTGAACTCTACCAGGAGGAGGAGAGTCCTGCCGCCCGTCTGGCCGCTGCCCAGCGAATCATCCGCGAACGTCTGCGTGCCAAGACCAAGCGCTATTTCAGCAAGTCCAAGGCTGGGGCTCGAATTGAAAAGGCCAATCCATTTCACCCGGTGGCAGGCACTTTCTTCTTCAGTTTGGTCAGGGGACAACGGACACGCCAGATGCTTTTCGTGAAGTACGAAAACATATCGCACGACATTGACACCCAGTTGCTGGTAAATCTACTGCACACCCTGTCCGTGATTATCATGTGCTCCCAGAATTGTCCACTGCTCCCGGCCATGACCCGCGAGATCTTCGACCTGTGCGCCTTTGTGCGCTTCAATGCCGAGGCTCGTGTCCGAGCGGCCACTCTGCAGCTAATAGGGATCGCACTGGTCACCACACCGGGTCATGTGCTGGCCCAGCACTTTGCCGAGTCGCTGAACGAGCTGCAGCGCTGGCTGGAGGACTTTGTACGATTGCCCCTCATCGGTGGGGAATCCTCGGAGGAGTGCCGGGATCTGGCCCAAAGCATCCTGGACACCTGCTACAAGCTGTTCGATTCAGCAGCCATGGAACAGGCAGCCTAACCATTCTTAAGAAGGAATTGAAAAACTAAAGATTTCTTTACTATTAAAACTGTATTTGAAATACATAAACCTTATGCTTTTCTAAAGAAAAAGAAAGACAATTTGATGCTTTTAGTTGTTAGAAAGCCATATATAAAATAAAATAGTTCCTGTTTAAACAACCTACATAATTATTATACATCTCACAAGAACATTGTCATTGAAACATAATCTCATAATTTGGCAAAGCTAATCTTATATTTCATACCTTTACCATTAAAATTTTTTAAAGAAAGTATTCGACGCATCTCCACTCACAAACATAAAACATTGTCCTTAAGCATTTCCTTAACATTATAAAATAATAATAATGGACTCACAGAAGAGATGTAATTGCTAGAAATAAGTTATATGATGATTATGTATTTCTCGCTTCGCCAAGCCATTGTATTACAGGTATACATAAACGGACTTACTTCATTTAAACTACTTTCTTTGTTTATTCGTTTTTTTCTCCCACTGCATATTTGTATTGCAAACCACACACACATCGGATCCAATTTTATTTTTCAAATATATATGTACTTAATTATGGTGAATTGAAAAGCATTTTTCAATATTCCGGGCATTGTGCGGCCACCGCAGCCGCGGACTCATTAGGTAAACCAATAACAAACCCCAATAAATCAGCAATAAGCGCAATAGCCATATAACAGATACCAAATCTATTCTTTGACTATGTAATTGCACTTGATTTGCTGCGCAAACGCTTCCGAGTAGTAGTTACCACCTCATTAGCCGATCACCCAGTAGTCGCATTTGCAATTCTATCGAAGCCACACATCCAAAGCAGCTTTTTTGTGAAACCGAACAAATAAACCGAAAGTGAAGACCCCGAATAACAATATTATTGCTTTTGTGTTTTTTCCAGACAATATGCTGCCTCCCATTGCCGCCGTCACGGGCAATAATCTGCTCCAGCCCATGTCGATGACCAATAATAACAACAATAATAATACCAACGGGGGAGCAGCCACCGCCGCTCCAAGTGTGCAGCCCACCAGTGTGGGTGCCACCTGGTCGGGCGACCTCAAAGGCGGCAAGATGAACATCGACCTGGACAACCTGCTCATGAGCAAGACGGGCAAACCCAGTGCTCCGGCTCCCTCGATGAACGCCCTGAAGACCCACAGTCCGACGAAGGGACCGCTAAATGTGCAGACGGGAGGCGGAGGATTCTCCGGACTTTCGCCGATGACCAGTCCCAATATTTTTGGTTCTGCGGCGCCACAGCAAAACATTCCACAAAACCAACCAGCATTTGCCAACTTTGGAGCGTTCCAGCAGCAGCAGAATCACAGCAATAATAACAATAACAGCTCGTCGGCATTCGACTTGTTCCAATGATATTGTTTAGCCTAATTCAACCCCCACCAGCCTTGAACTACTTCCCCCCAAAACTTCCACTCTCACATTCACATTTTCACGATCGCTAAACCTGTCAGTTCTATATATGATTTACGTTTACCTACCTACCTACCTACTCCCCCTTGCTGTATAAAGTTTGCGAAGCGTGCAATTTGTTGCTAAATTTATTGTTAAACAAGTTCCCCCACCCGCGATGCAGTTTTTCGGATCACATCCATGAATTCCACATCCGTCCTGATTGTCCACTCGGAAACTGAATGTCGTCATCAAATGCAATACACTGTAGTTGAATAAATGGTTGTACTGAACGGATTTGTTAGCACAACGCGCGGACGGACGACGGCTGAGCGATCCATCATTGAAATTGTTAAACAAAATACTACAAATATTGAAATCAAACAATTTTAGCAATAGTTAACGTTACGATGTGTCTGTATATAAATTGAATGTAAAAGAAATATGAAATATAAAAGAAATGAAACCAATAATTTTTAAATATTGTTATTTACTTAATTTTAATTTTAATCAGTTACAACCGGAAATGCAGAAAAAGCTGATAAGAATTTTATTATTTATATCATAAATGATCATGATAAAAAAACCAATTCATTTCTCGACAGACATCACTTAAATTAAATTAATTAAAAAAGAAATCTTTGAGGTTTATTATTGACAAAGATGTTCAGATAAATTGAGGTTTTCATTCCTTTTCAATCCGTGTAATTCAAAATCAAAAGGCAAATCTTATTCGGTGGGAGTACCCTCCAAAGTATGTTTATTAAATGTGGATCCATTAGGGTCAAAGAAAATACAGAAAAAGCTGATAAGGTAAAAGGTACTTAAGACTAAGCTGAATGTAATGGAGACGACTGATTACGCCACCACGGCTTCCTTGTTTTTGTTCTTCTTTTTCTTCTTCTTCTTTGGCTCTCCATCGTCATTTCCATTGCCATTTTCAGCCTCGGCGGCTGCTCCGTTTCCATTGCTGGCGCCATTGGCCTCACCCTCATCCTCCGCCACCCGCTTCTTCTTCTTGTTCTTCTTTTTCTCGGATTGGGGAGTCACTGCTGCCTCCTGGCCAGCTGCTTCGATGGCCTCCTTCATGACCTCGATGTTCTTGCGCGGCACATCGCCGGACTCGTAGAACTTAAGGCGATCTTCGACCTGCTGCTTCAGAGTGTCACCAAACACGCTGGTTGGCTGCTCCAGGAAGCAATCAATACGCGAGGCAATGGAGCACTTGTTGGCCAGGAACCGGGAGATGCGACCCTTGTTCTTCAGGCCAGCGCGACCGATGAACGAGGAGTGATAGATGAGTCCATACTTGGGCGTATTGGAGCGGGTCTTTAGCGCACGGAAGAGCGCCTTCTCGGCACCCAGAATTTGTACAGTCGATGCCGGGTACTTGGCCAGATTGGTCAAGCTGCCAGCATGGGAAATGAGGCGAGCACCGACCTGGTCGCCAATCAGCGACTGCAGATTGGGAGCCACCAGGTTCATCTTGTTGTGCAAGTAGGTCGACAGCTTCTTCCGGTACTCTGAGAGCTTGACAACGCGCTCGGCGAACAGCTCAATGTTCATCAGATCCACAATGGAGATGTCCATGCCCATGGACATCTTGGCGGCATCGATGATGGCCTGCGCCTTGGCCGAGTCCATTACGATCTTCTCCAGATCCTCAAGCTGGTCTTGCGTGAGGTTCTTGCGGTCCTTGATGAACTTGGCAGACTTGGCGAACATGTAGTTATCGGGCACAATCTTGACCAGCTCTGGGAAGTGGTAGGAGTACCACTCGCGTATCCGCATGGAGAATGTATTCACATCCTTGTCCAGCTGATCAAGCAAGGCAATTGACTGGATGATCATGTTGTCCGAACGATGCACGTTGAACTTGACCTTGGCACGCGAGTAGCTGTGGCCCAAACCCAGTTGAGCAACGCCAGCAGACTTGTCGGTGAATCCTGGGGAGGAAGGGAAAAAGTTAAGGGCTAGTTACAGTGTCATTTTGTAGGCCACTGACTAACTTACCTTTGACCAGCTTAGCGAAATGGAAACGAACTCCTCGCAGGATCTCAGGAACTACTCCAAAGTGGCTGCACTGCACGCCAACGGACTCGGTGATGGCTGCTCCCAGCTTGGCATCTGCAATGCCCAGGGTACACTTTTTCTTCTTGAGCTTGGCAAAGAAGTCATCCAGGAAGCTGAGCAGATCCTGCGGAACAATGCCCTCGGAAATGGCGTTGATGTTCTCCAAAGCGGCGATGGCCGTCTTGAAGGGCGCAAATCCCGCCAGCTTCACAATGGAGTTGAACTTGGCGAGGTCCGTGACCGAGGACTCCACCTGGGGCAGGAACATGGACACCTCCTCGAACTCCTTGACGGAGAAGATCGAGAAGCCCGCCGCATGCTCGTACAGCACATACAGGTTCGACTGGAGGCGGGGAAATGGTATCAATTTGGTGCGGTGGCAAGCACATGTGTTTTAGGGTGCTCCAACAGGTAAGGTTAGTTTTCGTTAAGAAAACATTCCAAACATTCGCCTTTCACAAGGAGCACTTAATGTAAGATGTTTAAACAATATGTACTTACCATATTTATGCCGAATATATGCCGTTTTTATATAAAATTATATATTTTAATTCAAACACGATGCTCTAGCAGTTGTTTTTCCACGTGCTTACTTAAAAGTGTGACCAGCAGCAGGCTAGTATAGAATTGTCAAAGATATACTAGAAAAAAATACCAAAGTACCGTACCGTATAATTTCAACAGGCTGGCCACGTTGATAACCTGATAACCTGTCGCGTTGTCCTTCTCGCACCTTCAGCTATCTCTGTCTCTGTGTGTGAAAGCAATTTTATTTTTATTTATAACAATTTTTGCGTTTATAAACACAACAGAAATAAATAGTTGGCTCGGCGCACTTCCTGGAATCGCTCGTATCAGCTGTTGGCTATTGGCACCAGCTTATAGACTGATTCCGATACCGTTTGTCAGTTTCCCTGGAGAAGAGAAAGGAACCTGCAACGAATTCCAGCCACTTTTGTTGATTATTATTCGGCATTAATTGTGTGAAAATCGGCTGATCAAATCGGCTGACACGTCACAGGAGAGCCGGAAAAGCGGTGAGGCACTCGCCGGAAAAGTCAGCGCACAGGAAAATTCCATTGGAGGCCCAGTGAAAGGCGAGCACAACACAACTACTACATGCCATGGACTTTTTGTTGTAAGTTCTCGGGCGCAGAATAAAAAAAGCAACAGAGTGTGCAAACTGCCGTCCTGTTGGAGCACAAAGAAAGCTTGGATCACTCCCGCCCCCAATTCGGACCTTGTGGCTTTGTTTTCCCTTTTCGGGGTGATATCCCCTACTCCAATGCAGTACAACTTCCCCAAACTCTTTTGGGGGCTGTCCAGAAATCCCTTCAAAACGAATTCCAACAGAAAGTCGAGTCTTGTGTCTGAAATCCATTCATTTGTTTCCAAATTATAGTCGCATTTTAATAATTTTCTTATGAGTATCAAAAAATAATTAAGAACCAAATTCCCACAAAAAGTTAAACTAAATTATAAGATTTCTGGGACATTAACAGAATTCTAAATTCGAAAATAATTGCCCTTCTCCCACAGCGGCTCCCGTTCCAGCAAGACCTTCAAGCCCAAGAAGAACATCCCGGAGGGCACCCACCAGTATGATCTCATGAAGCATGCGGCAGCCACCTTGGGATCGGGAAACCTACGCAATGCAGTGGCCCTGCCCGATGGTGAGGATCTAAACGAGTGGGTGGCCGTCAACAGTGAGTATACTATAATTTATTAAGGCACCGAAGAAAACCCATCTTAATGGTTACTGCCTTGCAGCCGTGGACTTCTTTAACCAGATCAACATGCTATACGGCACCATCACCGAATTCTGCACCGAGGAGACCTGTGGCATCATGTCGGCTGGCCCGAAATACGAATACCACTGGGCCGACGGTTTGACCGTGAAGAAGCCCATCAAGTGCAGCGCCCCCAAGTACATTGACTATCTGATGACCTGGGTGCAGGACCAGCTGGACGACGAAACTCTGTTTCCCTCCAAGATCGGCGTGCCGTTTCCAAAGAACTTTCACTCCTCCGCCAAGACCATACTGAAGCGTCTGTTCCGCGTGTATGCGCACATTTATCACCAGCACTTCACAGAGGTGGTGACGCTGGGCGAGGAGGCCCACCTGAACACGTCCTTCAAGCACTTCATCTTCTTCGTACAGGAGTTCAATCTGATCGAGCGGCGTGAGCTGGCCCCGCTGCAGGAGCTGATCGACAAGCTGACGGCAAAGGACGAGCGGCAGATATAGGAATCACTGCAGGGAGCCGCAATTGCCGGCGGTGATGGCGGTGGCCTGGGCTTGCAGTTGGACTTGTGATGGGAGCGCTCCGGCAGACTCGTGTATTACGCTTTAGTTAGTTACCGCCTTTTCTTTTAAGTTTCGTTCACTGCTTCGTGGGGTGCCTCCCACTAAAAAAAAAAAAAAAAAAAACAAAACAAAACATAACATAACAAAAACAGCCGATCGGCGGAGATAACCGAACTATAGCGGGCTAATTGCTGATCCAGAGCAACTACTATATTTTTATATGTGAATCGTAACTTTAAGGAGTATAAATCATATTTATATGTATATGTAAAGAAGAAAACAAAAAGCATCAGCAGCAGCATCAGCATCTGCAGCACGCCTTCGATCACCAACACATCCAGCTTTCGAGAAACAACCAATATTACGTTCACAAACTATGCGTGTTCCCTTGTTTATCGTTTTTTCTTTCTGTATGTATTGTATGTATTTATTACTATTAAACTATCGCTATATAGCTCGGAGTCGTCCAGCGGATCAAGCGATTTTGTAATGCAAACCCCAGCAATGTGAGGCGACGCTCGACAGCACCCAATAACTGATAATAATTGTAGACTTGATAAACATTTTTGATACGTTTTATACTAATAAAGAGAATATTATGAATAAAGCCAGCTCTCTTTTAGGTTTATCGTGCATTGACAGTTTGTTTTAAATCAAAAACAAAAAATGAAACGAAAAAAACCGGTTAAGATTAACATGTTGAAATACCTTTCATTAAAAAAGTATTCAATATATATACAATTAAGGTTTATTATGGAACTAAGGAGTACTTGTAGTACGGGAAGGTTACTAAAATATGACAACTCATACTGATACATTTGCGCATTGTAAATGTTTTCGACTAATCTATAGCATTCGGCTAATCGCCTTGTTATCACTGTCGCCACATTAACCCCAATCACTTGAGCTGACTTTTGTATTTGTCTTGCTCCACATAGAAATCGGCATTCTGCTCCACCAGCTGCTTCCATTTTAGAGAGAGCTCCTTATAGCTGAGCCCTTGTCCACCTAGTTCTTTGGGCAATTGGTCACAGATCACAGAGGTGCCCTCGCGTCTCAACAAAAGTCGGGATCTTATCTTGGGCGTCATAAATATTCTGAAATGACAATCCAACTATATAGTAGGGAATGATTATAGTTTAGATATTACTCACCTGAAAGTGTTTAAAAAAAAGTTCACATGACGTGGTGCGTTGGTGAACTCCAATAGCTTGGGCTGACATGGATAGGCGGTCCAGCTCTCCACGGATCGCTTGATGAGCTTTGGATTCATTTGGAGGGCATGACCCAGTTGGACGCCTTGCATGTCCAGAATGGCCACCATTCCACGTGCACAAGTCTCCGGCTCGAGCTTTAACAGCAGGTCCAATATCATTTTGCTGGTCTGAGAAACAAAGGTCGATTATATATATATACAGTGTAGACAAAAAGTTATATAAGTTATAAAAAACTCCACTATTTAACTTATAATTTTTTTATGTTTCATTTTAAATATAGATTTTAATAAGCCGAAAAAACCGAAAAGTTCAAAGGGCAGCTGTGGGTTTCGAACCAAGTCTTTCGTATGGATAGGTAAAATGATTTTTTTAACTATAATTACGTAGAAATAAATTTAAAATTTATAAAAGTTTTATAAAAATTTAAAATTTATAATTTATCTGACCTTTTCGGTATAGATAAATAGTTTTTTCTGTGTATATATCTAAGCACGTTCATAATTCTTGACTCACCTTAAAGACATTGTTCTGAGTGTGTAGCTTGGGATCATGAGCCGCTGTCCGGATGACCACCACCATTCTTTGTTCCGCATCAGCGCCAATGGGTAGAAAAACTCCCAGATTGAGTAACTCCTGCATTTCGGGCAATTTGGGATCGCGATTATCAAACCATTCAGGGCGCTCAGCTCGCATTTGATAGAAGTTTTTCAACTTTTTTTTGGTACGATCCACATCGAATTTGGAAGTTCTCAGAAAAAAGTGGAGGTTCTCGAAGGTGTTGCACCCGTTGATTTGGGGATTGGCCAGGAGCCAATCGCTGAGATCCTGCACCTGCCTTAGAACCCTTTCGGGGTCACCATCGGCGGTGGTGACTTGTCCTTGTCGTCTGGAACTGCTGCTGCGCGACCACATGGCGCTCTTTTGAGGGCGACAGCCGTCGGCGAACTAAAACCATTGTTTATAAACAAATAGCGACATGTACTCGCCAAAATAAGCTTTGCAACAAGCTTTTACGCGCACTCAGCGCTTTCTTCTTTTTTTTAATCGCATTTCGCACTGGCACTGTCGTATTCTAAAAATACATAATTGCTGATCCATTGCGAGCTTAATTGTTGCGTTTTCGCGCAATTGGATTAATTTAATTCGAATTGATTGGCTAGAAACCTTGTATTTTTAAGCTTGGCGATTTCGATAGACGCGGAAGCACGCACATTAGAGATGGACAATTTAAAACAGCTTACATTTCCTGTTAAGCCGCTGTTAACGCGATCTTTGTAACGGTTACTTAGAAAACTTTAAACGTTCAATAATAAATATATTTCTAAAAAATTATAAAAATGTCAATCTTTTGTGTTTATACCATAAAAACTTTATTTAAAATGCCAATTTGTTCAAAACTTAATTACGAGATTTATGTGGTATGCCCATCCACATTTTATCAGTTTTATGCCAAGATTTTGAACAAATTTAAATTGTAGTTTTTTTATAGTTAGCAAGGTATCATTAAATTTTTTTTAGTATGTTAAATATTTTTTTTTAGCTTTAGCATAAATCCAAACTAATTGAGAAACTAACCTAGTTTGATTACTAATATGTCTGTCAGTAGAACAAGACTTTCAAGATAAAACGAGCTGATTGATGAGTTTACGAGTTAAATTCACAAATAGCTTTGTTAATTTGCTTACCTCGTATACTACTTACTTTAGGTATTTAAACCCAGCATATTTGTAAAGTTATTTAGTTGTTTTCAACCTTTATCATAATGCTACTACGTGTCCTTTTGGTTTGCTTGGCTTTATTTGCCATGTCATATGCCCAACCTGTTTCTAAGGATAAGGATATATTTGACATTATTGATGGTGAGTACTTTATTAATTACAACAAATGTTAAAAACTTTGTTCCTATAGGTACCCGATCTGGCTTAGCTCGTCCTGTTGTTCCTCCAGAGCCAAACGATGTACCACAGAGAAGAACTTTGGTATTCCTTTTACCAATTCTGTTCCCCAATCGATTTTACTTCACTTAAATTGATAAATAAAATAAACTGATTGAGCTTATTTTACTCATTCGTTTCATTTGTGGTATTTGCTTGTAAGAGCTTTATTTTAATTAAAAAACCCAAACACTACCTTTAGTTGTACTTTAAAATAAACTTTATTCACATAGAAAATAAATAATTGTTACATTTCAACACATTGCTCTGCCAATTGCCTCACCATAAATTCATCCTTCTTTCTCCGCTGGATTATCCTGCTCTCTTTTTTATATTTTTTCGCTTAGATCGATGCTTAAGTTTTAAAATAAAATGTATATTTACAAAGATGTTTTACGCAAAAACTTAAGTCAACTGGTAGGTTGGTAGATTTGTAATTTCGAGGTAAAAAGGACTCAGGAGCAGGACCGGAAACGGAAACAGTGGGTGTTTGGTGGTGCGGGATGGTGGTGCTGGTTTGGTGGTGGTTTTTGTAGTGCAAGTGCTCAAAAGGCCCCGTTGAAGTGCAGGTTTTGTGAGGCGAACTGCGGTATCCCATGGTTGAGAGCTAAAACTTTACTAATTACTTTCAATTCATCAAGATTTCTTAAACTGCTAAATTGACTAAGATGATTGCCATTTTGGCCACTCGGTCTACTCTTATAGTGTGCATTACCTGGACTAATATCGCCGCTGGCTTTTGGTTGTTGCTGCAACTGTTGCTGTTGCTGCTGCTGATGTTGCTGCTGTTGCTGTTGCTGCTGCTGTTGCAGATATTGCTGGGCGTTCTGCTGCAATTGGTTGCTTAACTGAGGAGTCAAATGTTGCCTGTAAAAGTTCTGATTCTCCAGATGTGGATTGGCATTAAGGTCAGGTTGCTGGCTAACAATTGTGGTAGCAAAGGAGTTGCTCGGCTGTATTTCCACATTTGAATTCAGTCCGAAATTGCCCACTCCCGTCTCCTGGCGAAATTGCCGAGCCCTTTGTTGCTGTTGGAAAACCGCATTGCTGACGTAGTTTGGCACCAGCAACTGTTGTTGCTGTTGCTGATGTTGCTGCTGTTGCTGCTGTTGCTGCTGTTGCTGCTGAAATGGCTTGTAATTGTTATGGGGCAAGGCCTGAAGTTGCGACGCCTCGGCCGGTGCAAAGTTGAACTGATTGGAGGGCTGGACCTGGGGGTTTTCGTTCGATTTCTGCAGCGATTGCTGCAAATTTTGGAAAATCTGCTGCACTGCATTCGCTGGCGGCTTCGGCTGATAGTTATTCGTGTTGATGTTGCCATTGTGCAGGGCGAATTTATGACCCGCAACGGCATCGCGCCGCGGCAATTGCTGCTCAATTGGATATGTGGGATAAATAACAGTCTTGGTGTGTGTGCTGGGTATAAATTCCACCGAAGGTCTTATGGAGTAACCGCCCAAAGAGGGCGGTTGCAGACCGGATTGAATGACCTCCAGCGAACCATGTTGCTGTTGGACTTGCGGCAGTTGCTGCTGCTGCTGCTGTTGTTGCTGTTGCTGCTGGAGGTGTTGCTGATGTTGCTGCTGCTGTTGCTGAAGTTGCTGCTGTGGCTGCAATGTGCTGGGTTGGGCAATCGGTGTGCCCTGGAAACGACTCTGGGTCTGCTCCTCCAGGAGCTTCAGTTGACGCAGGATTAGAGCCTGTTGCTGTTGTGCCTGAACCTTCAGCTGGTAGATCTGTTGCTCCAGTGCCCGCTGACGCTCAATCAGGTAGTTATTTACACTTGGCGGCTCTGCCAGATTGTCACGCGGTTCCTGCTGAAATTATTGTTTCATTTTAGTTGGTAATATTTTTACGGAGTGGTTTGTGTGTCACTAAAATTTAAAATTTCTAAATTATATATCATCTTTCATAACTTTAATTAAGTTTTAAAACGCTTAAAGCATTATAAGTTTTATGAGCTCTATTAATATTTTTGTGTAAACATATCTGGTTTTGCTTGTTGCAATTGAATTTTTTAAAAATTATTACAGAACGATATGTGTATCATACAAATTTCAATTTTGTAGCTTATAATTTGTACGTTGGTTTCAATTTAAAATATCAAAAGTGTTTAAATATTTAAAATGTGCTATGATTTAATTTAAAAATATTAAAGAATTTAAAAATATGTTTTCTTATTTCCTTTTGTGAACTTTATTAATATTTATACACGGAAAAAACGTTAATTGCTTATCGCAATCCAACTTTCGGAAAAAATGTATCAAGAAAATGGAAATTTTCTATTTATTATATTAGTTAGTTTAATACTTAGTGGCAGCAAATCGTTTTTTTCTTTCCACAAAATTAGTTTCATTTTATAAATTCTATTAATGTTTATTGCTAATTATATTTCCGTTTTATCTAACTAATTAAAGGAAAACAATTTAAGAAATTTATTAAAAAAGAAATTTTGTATATTTAAAATTTCCTTTATGTATTAAGACAATCTAAATCAAAAAAAAAAAAAGAAAGGTATTTGAAAGTAAGTAAGTAAGTAAGTAAAACAGTTTTTATAAGTTTCCCTATTATACCTTCACATAATTGCTGGTGGAGCTGGTCAGGAAAGCGGGCGTGGTGGAGAAACCACCGCCGCCAGCAGTGGTGCTCGTGCTGATCTGGGTGGTGGTTGTGCTGCTGCTGCTGCTGCTTGTGGGTGGAAACTGAGTGGGCAGCGGTGTAGCCGGCGGCTCCGACTCCAACACATTCAGCTTGGTGATGGTGGGTCCGATGTGTGGCAGCTGCAGCTGTTGCTGTGGAGCCCCGAAGTGGGTGGTGCGCTGGCTGCCCGTCAGCAGTGGGCGGAACTTCTGGGCCGTGCCCCGCTCGTCCAGGTCCACCGTGAAAGCGGTGACCAGTGGTGCCGCCTGGATGCGAATGTCCTGCTTGTCCACCAGCTCGATGTTCTCCCCATCCTCGTTGTGGGTGGGTCGTGGTGTTGTGGTTGTGGTGGTCGTCGAAGTCGTCGTAGTGCGACGCCTAGTGGTGCGGGGTATGGGCGTGGTTGTTGTGGTTGTGGTCGTGGTCGTGGTCGAGGATGTGGTTGGCACGGCGGTGGTCTTTCTCACATTGCTGATCTCGAATTTGATCTCGTGGCTGCCGCTGTCGTGGGAGATCTCATTGCTGCTCACGGATCCGGAACTGGAGGAGTCCACACTGCGGGTTAGTTGGCGATTCTCCGGAGCTTCTACCTCCAAGGTCGTGGGTTCCAGGGGCAGGGAAATGGCGGGGGTATTCTGTTTCCTAACCGTGGTCTTTTTCCACAACTTAGAACGATCGATGAAGGAGGAGAGCAGCTGCTCCTGGGCATTCTTCTCGTCAAAGGTGGCCGTATAGAACTGAACAGTGGGCACCACGGGCTCCGGTTCGTTGCCTCTCGTGCTCTCCTCGAGAATCTCATCCTTTTCACGATGTGAGGGTAAGGTAGAGGTCTCTGTTTGGAGCAGGGAACGGGAGCCACTGCTGCTGGGACTCAGACTCTCCTCACCACTTTCCGTGGCCGCCGCCTCCTCCTGTTCCAGTTTATCAATTGCCCGCAGTAGGGCCTGTCTCACAGAGTAATCCAGTTTCTGGATGGCCTCCCTGGGTATGATCTCGTTGCTCTCCGTGCTGGCAGCATCCACCTCCTTCTCCTTCTGCTCTCCTGCACTGGTTTCCGCATTGGCCACATGGAGCTTTAGAGCAGCCAGTAGCAGAATCGCCAGCAAAGCCCAAGGCAAACCATTCCAATGTCTCTGTTTAAAGTAAAAAAGAAAAACAAAGAGAAAGGAAACATTAATGATTACGCTTAAATTTAATAACTTAATAAGTTCGAAAAGACTGCTCTTAATGGAGGTCTTAGTTTCAGGCCTCATTTGATTTAATGGCCATGGATGCTCGGCTAGTTGGAGACACCTTGGGCACTTGTCTGTGACACCTTAACCATTTCACATGGCCTGGCATTTGGTTAAGTGGTATTTGCCAAAATGGTTAGGCTTGAGCAATTTTATTTTACAAGCGACTGGCAATACAAATGTCTGAATTCGTATATTTACGATTGTTAAGACTTCTCAAATAAATATTTTTATATCTAAGAGTAGTTAAGAAATTGTGAAAAAAACATTAAACATTAAACATTATAATATTAAAGCATAAAAATATTTATGAACATTATTTCGTATATATATTTTATTAATTGTGAACAAATTTGTATAAATTTTATATCATTAGCTATTTAGTTCATGGCGTTGGCTTAAGTGGCATTTGCCAAATTTATGTTTTTATATATTTAAGTTTATTAAAACTTTTAAAATTATTGTGATATTCATTTTTTATTGTTTGAGTTAGTCTCTCAGTAAGAAAAGATTAAAAATTGAAAAGTATCTCTGCAGCTTTTTATAAGATACAAATCAAACTATGTATAAAATGACTGGCAATAGGCCACTTTATAAAATGCATGAAATTACACCTCATCGAATTTTAAAATTGGCCTAGTTAAATCTGGTTAGCGAATTAAAGCATACCAACATTTATGGCTATTATTATGAATATACATATTTTAAAATGTGACCTAATTTTCATAAATTGTATGTTGTTTCTGGCACGTTTTTAATTTTTGGCAATTCGCACATTGGATATAAATTAATATTTAAATGTAAAATATTTTTTATTTTCCTGCATAACAAACTTCCTGATTTACCCGAATCCAGTGAATAAAGTAATGAACTGAACTCATTGGAATTTCGATTGCATTTTCTTTGCCATATTAGAAGCCAAGCCCAATTGCGGGAAACTTTTGCAAGATGGTGGAAAATGCATGCACTGTGTGCAGCCTGTGACCCCTTCGCTTTTCGTTTTTCCAACGGAAAGTCAGCTAATCGCGGAGTGGTAATCTTTCCGGCATTTGCACAGACAGAAAATCATAACGCATTATACATAGTTTTTTGCTGGTCAGACTGCCCACTCATGGCATGCAGTTTTCTTGCCTTTTTCTTTTTGGGGGGGGAATCTGTGGCTGCGTTTTCACAATTTCCCATTTTCAACAGCTTGACGATTGATTCCTAGTGGTTTTTTGTTTTTTTTTTTGCATGTGGATTGGCGAGACCGTTTGCAAATTGGCCAGCAACTTTGCAACGCTTGTTTGGCTGCGGCCAAGTGCTTAGTTAGGCTAATTGTTGCATCAACGATCAGAGGAAAGCCATCTGACCACCTGTCGCCGCAGCTACGTGAGTTTCTCGCTTTGATTTGGTTTTGTTTCTCAGTTTTTGGTCTGGGATTCGGATTTGGTTTTGGGTGCCCAGGATTTCGGTGAGGCAGTCACAGTCACGTTGTTGCCACTTGGCACTTGGCATTACTCCGCGTTTCTGGCCAAATTCGAACAATCGTGGCCCAGTCGAAATTATTTAATCAGCAGCAGCAGATGAAATGAAAAGCCCATTTGATTCGCAGCAAGGATTCCAGCGATTTGCAATGCTGATCTTGCATAAATCTTTACTTTGCACAGAGAAAAAGTGTACACAACTTTTATATAACATAACAAATTTTTATGTTTTTTCATAAATCCACAAATTAAAAAAAAAAGTTAATAAAAGGAGTTTTACAAATCATTTTAGGCTAGAAATCTAAAAAAGATTGGGTGGTGAATTTAATAAAACCAAAGATCATATAACTGATTATATCGTTATTAATATTTATTATTGTGTATAAAAATATCAGATAAATATGAAAAATATATATTTTACATATTTCTCAATCGAAGCATTTTTTAAAGGGTACATCAAATTGTTTTCACAAAATTCTAAAAAATCAAATATTTTTAACTGTTAATGCCATTCGATTAGAAAATTTGCTACCATTTCAACAATATATTGACGATTATTCTTAGAGTTTTAGTATAAAAACCAATATAAAAAAGTGTTTTTTTTTTATTTTTAGAGATTTGTCAAAAAAACACACTTGCTAAAGTTTTATTTACAATATTTATGTATGTGCTATGCAAAACCAAATATCACTTGCTAAGCTTTGAGTACGGAGTTCAAATTACTATTGATTTTTTTGTGTGGACTGGAGCAAATGGACCAAAATGATGAGGACCATTGATCAGATGAACCCCCTATCGGTCATCAATCTCCCCCATTGATTAAATCATACGACTCTGCTCAACACCTTTGACTGGAGTTTTTGCTCCCCAAACTTTCTACTTTTCCGCCTTCGAATGCGTCTTCTTTGAAGTCCATTGCTATAAAATCGAACATGACTCAAGTGGTTTTTACATTGAATAATCTGGTGAAAATAACCACTATTTTTCACAATTTAACTGGCAGGCGGATGCCGCCCAAAACAAAAACCAAGGCCAGGGTTCAAGTTCTGCTAAAGGGCAAAGCATTATGAGCCAGGAGGAAGCCCCTTTTGATGGGAAACAATTTCCAGCTGGCAGTCGTTTTTCCACACAACTAGTTTGCCATTTGCTATTGACTTTCCGCCTGCCTTTTCGCTTTCTGGCCAACAAAAAATCGATGGCGCTGCCTGCTTTGCTGCTCATTTGCGTCAATTTCACTATGGAAATCATCGTGGGCCTTAAGTCAGTCAGCCAAATAGTCGGACAGTCCGTCAGTCGCTTCAAGTTGGCGCTAAGCTAATCAGGTTTACCGGCTTTGGATGGTTTTCATAGCTGAAGGTAATACTACAATACAGAGGGGAGAGGAGGATCCACTGGCGCGGCGAAAAAAATAGCAATCATCATAAATTGTAATGGTCAGTTGGGAATCTCTGCAGCCATATTAAAAGGCATGGGGCTCAATTGCATGTGGGCATTTCCATTTATTTCATTTCGGGCCATTTCCCTACTATGTTTGGCACTTTAAAACACGAAAATCCAGGCTGCCTTTGCGGAAGCGATTAATTGTAAACATTTGCGGCATTAAAGTAGATAACTTTAATATGCTGTGGTATAAAAAGTGCACATTTTTTATATTATACAATTTTTTATTTTAAATATGAAACTTATATGAAAAGCAGGTGTTTAAATATTCAGAAATTTAAAAACCATTATTTAAAAAAGGCATCGTATTATATTAAATGCCTTAAAAATTAATTATGATGGCTGATCAAATGCTTAAATAAATCTATTTTTATCAACATGGCTCCAGGAAATATTAATATGCTACATTTAAATATTTTTTTTTCACCAAATGGTTTTCAATGGCTTATAAATTTAAATTGTTAATGGCTAAAGGTTAATAAGCCTTGCAGCAATTTCAAAAATTTCTCTATTTAAAATTCGCGCTAGTTCCCAAACAAAATCACAGTCAAAAGGCGCCGTAAAATTTCCGTTTTAATTGGATGAATATATTCACATGGGTAAATGTACAAAATGAACAAGCGAGTAAAACGCCATAAGGCAGCTCAATAAAATTCCTTTAATTATCGGTAATTATTTTCGTTGGCCGCTGGGTTCCGCAAAAAGCCCGAAGCCACAGCTTTTCGACCACAAACATGCGGCAGAGTGTAAAAGTGATTTAACAACAATCGGACAACGCCAATAAATTAGCAATACCTCAATGGATAATGGCCCAGAGCTGTCTATATAATTTATTTATCTCCAGTGTGTGGGTTGATAGTGTTTTCTTTATTGTTTTTCTACCTCCCACCACCTCTCTTGAGGTAAGCAAATACATATCTCCGCGGGCAATAAAGAAGCGGCAATTGCATAAGCCAAAAAAAAAACTGACCAAAACCGAAACTTCACTTTCGACTTGCGGACTGGGTAACCCAGTTCCACTGGCCAACAATACAGGTAAAAACAGAAAAAAAAATGGTACATCATATTCGCGTATGCCAGTAATTCGAGCTGTCAGTTGGGAGGGGTTTTCCCCTCTTTTCATTGTGATTAATTTCACGCCAACTGAGCGCCGCTGCACTACGAATATTTCGCATTCTGCAGATGCATTTTGGATTTTGAATTTTCGCATTTTGCATTTTGCATTTAGCATTGCTCAAGCCTGCAGTGGTTGCATCCACATCCACATCCATACAAGCCACGCATTATTAAGCAGCTGGCAAGATGATAAACACCGAATTTCGAGACCCGGCCGAAAGTTGTTTATCTGGCTCCAGATGTAACAGTTCGCCTTGCCACATAACGCAATCCCAACACCAACACCAATCCCAATCCCCATACCCATCCCCTTGCCAATTGGCGAGCCAGTGCAAATTGGTGTTTATGCTATATGTGGGCCACCATAAACATTAAATGTTGTAAAAATTATGTTGTAATCCATAGCAAAAGTCGTAAAATGCAACCACATTTAATACAAATATTTTATATTAAAAGGTTTATGGGTCCACCAAGTTCACGCCTAAAATAAACGATTGATGGTCTGAAGGGTATATTCATTATTGGGTATATTGATCTTTTGTATATGCATCTTTATCCAACGTTGGTCTAAAAGGCCTTTTATTATGATTTACAAATTGGACTGTATTCATAAGCAAATTTTGGTTGATATTTAAAACAAAGGGGATTATCATGGTGCTACAGAAATCTTCTTTGCTTTAAATACATCAATATAGTTGTCACTGAAATCGATTTTTGTTGCTTTATGTTAAGTATGAACAAATAATAAAACGTTGCCATTCATAAAAGCTTTGTTATTATCTTGCACATGGTGAATTCACTTTAAAACTTTTGACTTTTTTATTTATTTTTTATTTGTATTTACAGATTATATGCAAGATAAGAAAGTTATATTTAGATTTTGTAATCAACCAAAGATTTTTAATTTATATTTACTTTTATATTTAAAGATTTTATATAAGATATTTCTAGTTTAGTAATACTTTTCTTCTAGCATCATTATAAAATATAATATAATTCTGTAGCTTCTATTGTGTTTATTGTTTACTAAATTTGTTTGTTTAAATTTCAAAAATTTTTTATATTTAAATTTAAATTTTTGTTTTCAATAAACTTTGGCTTAAAAACATTACAAAAATTGTTTTTAAAATAAATCCAATACCTTCTATTGATACCCAGATTCCCAAATTGTAAGAGCATGCACAAATCGATGACTTTGCCACCTCTTTTTAACCTTTATCAATGACGATCCCCTATGGTTTTCGGTTGCTCAATAAATTTGTTACAGTATTTTATGGGCTTTTAACTGCCTTTGTGGCTACCAAGCTGCGTTGTCCACAGAGCCATAAAAAACTTCCATAATTGCGTGTGTGGGCTTCGGCAGCATCTTCTCCCAATGGCAGCCCTTTTCCATCTTGAACTCCATCTCTAGTTCGATGCTCGATACTGGATAGCAAGTCCCGGGCATTTGCATAATTTCACACTCGCATTTCGAGGCTGACGCGCCCTGATATCAGATTTAGTGGCATTGTTTTCGGCGAGATATTAGCAACCTGAGTCTGTGATGCTGTTTTGACATGGAAGCAGGCTTTTGATTGGCATTGATTGGATCGCTGGATATTGACCAATAATGCGATATCGTGATAGGCGAGGGGATCTTCTTCACCGAGAAATCACGAATTCATAGCTGTTTACATTTCGATTAGGGCCCATTTTGCTGACTGTTATTTGCATATTTATGTGCATTTAATTGGGTTTTGGTTGCGTGTAAGCCATAGTCATAGATTTGGCAGTTATAATATACGATATTATTTTTGCCGGATTGGCCAGAGGTCAAGTTTATTGATGAACCACCGATAACCAGCTGAAGTTCAAGTTTGGACTTCATATTCAATTTGCCAGGCAAATAACAATAATATTATGCTGTCTAAAACAACAGGTTTCCACCATATTATTTTGCCACGCCAAAACTCTCGCTGGCATTTTAGTGGCTGAGTGAAAATCCGTTGACCAATGCTTTTTGCCATCTTCCACGGCTTTTATTTAGCCACACAGCATTCAGCATTTCATAATAAAAATAAGACGAAATTACCAATGTGCGCATATTACGATAAATTTCCGCGGCACATGCAGTCATACTTGTGAGGTTTTTCCATCTTACAATAATTTCTGTTTGGTTTGTTGTTGTTTGTTTTTGGTTCGCGTAATGTCTGCCCATTGTTCGAGGTTTGGATTTTAGGGAGGGGCTGCAGGGGAAATCTGTGTGTTTTCTTTTACCATTTTTTAAAATTTTTTTTCCGTCGCTTTTTGTTTGGCTGTTTGCATCTAATGGCGCGCGTTGAGACAAAAATGCAATGTCAATGGCATCATTGGGCCGTGTACTCGGCAATTTCGGTTTCACTTTTATCGATGCCCGGGCATCTGAAACTCCGCAAGACGAAGGCTGTTGAGGAAGAGCCAAAGCCAAAGCGGCGATGAAGATGCTGGCGGAGTAGAGATCATCGGTGGCCAGTTGACGTGGTAAATGCTTTGTTTGGCCCCCCTACTGTACATATGTATATATAGTTACATATTATTATGTAAATCGCTTACACTGTGTGTGCAGCGCGTCGTGTGCCATTTACTATTTGAAAGGGGTACCTATACCTACCTGCTGTTGACCTTTCAGCGGTGGCAGAGCTGTCGATGGGTTTACAAAACAAAAGACTTAGGCAACGAACTCGACACTAAACACCCCCTAAAAGCATTGCATGGCCAACAACAAACTCATCCATTGCACTTGCTTAACAGTTATAGTTATAAATCTCAGGTGCTTTTGATTTATTCGAGGGTTTTTCCTCCCCCCTCACCTTCCCCATTCCTTTGCCCATCATCCATCATATGGTAAGTTGTAAATTGCTATTTTGACAATTGCACAATTTCGTGCAGACCCTGCTTTTAGATACAGATCTCCCCGCACGATATATGTTCGCCTGCTCAGTGTGCGGGCGGTTTTTTTCATTTCTTGTTATTTATTTCTTGTTGAATCCATGAATTGGATATCTTGTGAATGAAGCGCCGATCGTGAGTGAGTGTGCGGCACTTTTACTTTTGTTACCCTACAATGGCGGCGGGTCAACAGTTCCGATAAGCAAATCAAATAACATTCCCTGATCAATGACTGTGAAAATCGGAACCCCGAGGCACTTGAAAATCGTTAATTGAATTGGCCGAGAGAAACTCACGTGTGATAAAGATATTATTTGTGAAATGTTTTTAATTGTGCTTATGGTATGTGGTTTTTGGGATTGATGATAGCCCATGACTTGGTGGATCAATAATCCAATTGTATTTTTTACTATGTGCCTTGACTGGCTTTCATTAGGCAGAAATTAATTGCCTTTGTGTTGGAGAGATTGTCGAAGATCAGAAATTAATAAAATGATTGAACTTATATTGGATAAGTATTTTGGAATTTCTTTTTAAAATTTAACAAAGAAATAAGCACACTTGTATGTAATTTGATTTAACAAAAACTTAGTGAAACGAACTAAAAGGATTAGTTTGAAAATTTAAAAATGGTAAAATCATTTAACTGAGTATAGTTTTATTTTTTGTTTGATTTTATTGCCTGCTGGAAAATTAACCATTAAAGTCATTTATTTATTATTTATTTGATTAAACAAAATTTTATAATAGGGGTTGATTGTTGTACTAAGAGAAAGTTATGTCTTATAAACATATTTATAGTAGTTAATGTAAATTTTTATTTGTAGTTCTTTCTTTACAATTCCCTTTTGATCTATTCCCAACTAACTTAGAGAATACATAAAATACCTTTATTCTAGGAATAATCGTAACTAAATCCTTGAAATCACGAACACACTTAGTAAACTTACAGTTTCTTTAAAAAAAACAGCAATACATAATATCACGTTTAGCTTAAGGCCTTAAGCTATCGAAAAATTTTTATGTATTTATTTTTTTATTTCGCCTGTAAATTTAACATTGCAGAACATAACAACAATAATGAAGTCTCTAATTGAATGTATATGTTTAATAGCTTAAATACACATTTTCACATATACTTTTAATTTTCCAGGAAAAGTGGTAAGCACATCCCTTGACACTGAATGCCTCTGGATGATTTATGACCCGTTGGCTAATTTTGGGCTGGAGAAATCAGCGGCCGGCAAGGAAGACGTCACTTTTTTATTTTATTTTTGCCAACGCAAAAAGAAAAGCAAAAACAGAAATAAATAAAGGAAAAAAGGAAAACGCAGCATAATCAATTTTAAGCATTGTCAAAGTGCAATTATGCAACGGTGAAAAGTGAAATTTTATTGCATGTCAACAACGGCAGACATCTACACACATCTTGCGTTTTGGGACGACTTTGCAGATGACTTGGTAGATGGGCTGGGATTGGGTATTGGGTACTGGGCACTGGAACCGGGTGCCAACTCTCAACTTTGGCTGGCCACGAACAGGTCGCCAAACAACTGGCCATTTGAATTTGGCCATAAGCTGTCGATTGCATAAGCTGGAAATCGGATATGCCTGGGGTGTGGGCCTTAACTTGGCTCACATGCGGGCTAGAAGGCACATAAATCCTTGAGTTTCGGGTTGGCCAATCCAATTGGGTTAAACGAGCAGGCAGCACCTGTGCTTTAATAGCCACCCATTCGCATTTCGACCTCAAAGTCACGGCTTTATTTGTCACTTTTAACGGTCCTAATCAGCCTTAGCCACTAAATGGACTTTAAGTGATTAACGATCGTAAAACAACTCGATCGGTAGCTGGCAAAACGAATTAAATGCGTCTCATATGTCGCCAATTAAATTGTTTTATTGGCTTCGAAATGGTATCATTAAACGGCATTAAAAACCCATTACACAAATGACTTGGCAAATGACTTTCAATAATTTGGTCTTGCCAAAAACCACAAAATCCCATGCATATATTCATGATTGGTATATCTGATCGATTGGCGATTCGATCGCAGCTGTCAGATCGTAACGCGTAACTCCTACACCAATGTGTTCAATGTGCCAAAAATGGGCGGGGTCTTATGTCTTCACTAATTGAGGTAATTTAATTAGCAAACGTGGAGAAATTTCTATTGAAGTTCGGGTGTCAAACTTTCAATTTGAAAAGAAACAAGAGCTAGGGGATTTCGTGGATCAACCATTTAAATAAGCTATTTGATATTTCTCGTGAAAAATATATTTTTAATTATTTGTTTATTAGACTTTATATTATACATTTAAAATTTTATTTTTCAACTAAAACATCTTTGTTTTTGACTTAAATTAAACTTTTCATTTATTTTATAAATATGTTAAATATGACTCCCCTACAATTGGCTTTGATCTGAAAATATGTGTTTCACATTAACAATCATCATGCTTTTGCGGTTGAATTAAAAATCATATTTTTTGGTCATTTTATAAATTTGTCCATTTAATAACTAAACTAACTAAAATTAAAACTTTTAAGCGTTTATTAACTTAATAACAATTCTCGGTTTGTCACAAATCACTATTAAAAATAAAAGGGGCTTAATAAAATATTAAACTACAAAAAAAAAAAATGGCTGCGTGAAAAACTTACTTTTATTTTTGGGAAAAATAAACCCTTATTTCTGATTTTAACTTAGCTAAAAAATGTCTAAAAGCTAAAAGATTGATCACTTCCAGATAAAATTGATTTTTAAAAATTTTTGCATATGAGACAAATAAAAAAAAAATAAATGGGAAACTAAATATGAGGTTGATGATTTAAGAAATTTCATAGTTAGCAAATTTCTTCCCATGGTTTTGTTAAAAAAAATCAAAGTTGTTGCCCCCTTATACAGGTACTCACCACAAGCATTTTGACTCTGTATTTTAGTGGGATATATCCAAATTTATAGCTCTGTAATCCGATGGTTTGATGACCACACTCCACCTCACTCTCTCTTTCGTTCCTCCCAAACGATGCACGCAATCAAATCGTAATATTCGAATCGAGACAGAAACAGAAACATAAACATAAACTAATCAAATGCGAATTAGCTGCTAACGTTTCCTTTATTTTATTTGGATTATATTCATTTGATTTGTATAATGCCAATATGCCGCTGGCTGTAGGTCGTTCCTTGTTGCACTTTATTTTCGTTAAATTGCCAAATTTCGAATCGTTATTTTCGAATTAGCGGACAATAGTTCACACCGTCCGATAATTTTCGCGGCTCAGAGTTAGTTAGGAATTGGTATTCTTTGTTTTGCTTGCTGCTTTAAGGTTGCTATTTGACTTTGCTTTTTTTGGATTTTTATTTTTGTGTTAAGCGCTGAGACGGCTAACCGCTGGCAGAGGGAAAACTGAACCAAACCGTCTGAACGCTCGCTGCAGACTGAGGCGCGAACATTTCGAGGTTTCCTGGCCGAAGACAAAAGCATTGAAAACCATGGGCCTGAAGATGCTGCGGATGTTGCTGCCGGGCGGCAACATGTTGCTGGCGTGCATGTTGCCAGTTGGCGATGAATGAAAATGAAAAGCTACTTTGAACTTGGCTCGCAGCCAACTGCAAACACTTACATTCACTATGCTACACCTTTATGGCCATTATGACGCAACGGAATTCTAGTGGAACTGCAGCCTGCGGCTTAATTAAGTTTGTTTTACATTCATTTATTTATCTTTTGTATTTTATTTGGATTTTATGCGTGTCTCTGATTCGCTGGCAGACACTTTCCAAGTTTCGCGTTATTACTTAACATGGCTGGTTTCGCTTTCGTTCGAAATCCTTGCCCACAGCTTAATGAGCCACTTTGCCCCAAGCCAAGCCAGTTGGGGCCAACTCACACACGTGCCGCAGATCAAAGTTGGCTCTGCCACTTCCACTTCCTTGTGGCTTTTTTTTTAGGCCACTTCGCGGCGCCAATTTCTCTCGAATTAGCGCCAATTCAGCATGTAAATTAACTCATTTCTGAAGACGCATGTTTCAATATTCGATTTCCGCCTGTCTTTTCACAGTTCCGCTCATCTTTGCTAAATGCAATTATTTTTGCCACGAAGCTTTGATGATGAGTTAGGATTTAATGCCAAACAGGCTAAACCTGGAAGTGTTTCTTGGCCATCAATGGTGATTATAATCAACTATATACGCAGCTTATTGAACCTAGTGTTAAATAATTTTTTTATTCCAATTTTAGGTATTTATTGTTCATATTATAAAATATATAAAAGTACTAAACGTATTTCAAAATAGTATGAAGGTCTAAGGTTTTTTCGATTGTCTAAAAATCGGGTATAAAACTAAATTTCTAGACTGAAATGTGTGTTTACATCATATATATGTATTGTATATCACTAGTCAATCAAATTTTAGCCAAAAAGATTTCTGTGTCGCTTGCACTTATTTTTATATAAAATTTAACAATTCCTCTTTTTTATTTATAAAGAACTAACTAACCATATGTCAAAACAATAACTCATTAATTAATCTACATTATTAATTATAAGAGTCATTACTATATGTACAGCCTTTCTGTTTAATATGCAAATAGAATTTTTCAAAACAATTATAGACTAGACTAACTATTTTATGTGACTGGTTTCGGTTTTAAAATGTTTTTTTTTTGTAATAACACTTTTCGGGTATTACCAAATGTTGGCTGGTAGGTGGCATAACACCATTTGGGTGAACAGTAATAACCTGCCTGGGAAATCCCCAGTCGGCGGGGGAGTGGAGACCCATCTCCGCTGTCATCTGTCCCCAGTCAATGGGGAATGGGAATCGGCAGGCAGCGAAAAGCACTTTCCGCCACCACCGACAAGTTTTCAGATGCCACTGGGAGGAGAGTCGGAGTCACATCTCTTAGCGGCAGATTATTTGGCAAATGCTTCGTAAAGACCAACAGAAAGCCACAAAAGCGAGCCAAAAACCAAAAACCGAACAACTAAAAACCAAAACCAAACATCGAACACGTTGTACGTCGAATGGCAAACCAGCTTTCTTCGTCGTGACTTTTGATATTTGAAATGATGTCGAGACGCCTCGACGCCGTCGCCTGGTGAGCTTTTGAACCCGTTTGCACCCTTTTCCAATTGTTCCATGCAGTTTTTCCCCGCCTTACAATTTTGCAATTTGACTTTTCCGAGTCCAAGTCGTTTGCTGCTCTGTATGCTGAACAAATTTTGATTGTGGCCAGGACAACGGCTGCTGCACATTTGTCCAACTGCAGGCTGAACGTGCTGATCCGCAGGCCATTTGGCCAGGGAGTTGGCTGAAGAGTATTAACATTATACACTGAAACAGAATTTTTATATTATAAAGGATTAATTTTTGTAAAACATAAACTACTTTAAGCTACAAGTCCTAAAAAAAGTTTGAAATAAAAAGAAATAAGTTAAGCATTCTAAACTATTCAAGACTAATTAGTCTTCTGGTTAATATAATATTTAAAAAAACAAAACAAAAAACTAAATATCTTTTCTTTAAATTACAGACATTTTTTTTTAAATTGATTACAAAATGGCATTAGTTTTCTGCGATTTGCCTGAATTTATAATACTAATTTTTTGAGAGCCAGGCAAATTGAAAAAGCATGTTGCTTGGCTTAACAGTCAGTCCCAGTAGCTGCAAATCTGTATGTGAACTGGATTCCTAATGAAGTTTTGCGGTTTTGCAGACTGGCATTCGATCGGAGGTGATCTCGGCTGCCATAACTCAGGAAAACCACCATGTTGAACTCTTCGTTTGGCAACCCATCGATGACCTTAGCCACTTGATTCGCTTCGCCACGCCCTTTGGCCACTACCGTTTATGGGTATTTTTTTTGTTCAAGTCGCATAATAAAGTCATCCATCTGGGCAAAGCGATCATCGAGTGGCCTGCGGCTAAGCTCTATTGTGACACTTGATTGAGGGGTTATTTCGACTTCGATTCCCAGGAGCTGCCAGGCATTTATGATGGGCAGGGGCAAATGAAACCATAAATAGCAAAAAGAGCAACGAGTTCAATAAATGGCACAAACACGGCGGACAATCGAGAAATTTGCTTATAAATAAATTTGTATAAATTGCATGGACTGGGATTGGGCATAAGACAAAGGCCTTTGTGCCAGCCGAAATGAACGTGTCAATGAGGGCCGAACTAATAATTTAAAATGCAAATAGTCGAAAGAGGCAATCGTAGACGACTGTCGACTGTCGTTTAAGGTGTGAAATATGGACGCGGCAGAAGCAGCTCTAATCTTTAGACCCCATGGGATGTGACAAGCTGAAACCCGAGAAAAGATTTGCCAACGCACTCCGGATAATCATATGCATCCAAATGTTTTTTACCCAGATATCTTCGGTTACATTTCATTTTTTTTTTTTGGAGCCTTGTCAGTTCCGGATTAGAGAAAATTGCTTTTTAAGTAAGCTAAATCAATCATTTGACAGCTGCTTAATTGTCCAGCGATCAGTGGTCACGCCCACAAGGCGATGGCCTTTTTTTTTTGTTTTTTGGGCAGCTACCGGCTGAACTTTTGAACCCCACTTTTTTCGGCCCATTGTGCATGGTTCAATGCCATGGCAGGCTGGTTTTTTTTTGGTTGATTTTTCACCATGATTGAAATATGTCAGTGAAACTGGAAAATTGAAGGATTTGATTGATGCATGAAGTAAGTGAAATTTTTGATGTCTTAAAAAAAGAGAAATCTGATTATTTTTCTGTGGAACAGAATAAAATAAATTAAGTACTATAAAAACCATTTTAAAGAAAGCATTAAGCCTTGTGTAAATAATTAAAAAAGTTTTAACCATCCATAAAAAGGTCGGTGTAAAAAATACTAAGTTTTAATTACTTTAACCAAATGTTAAGCAAGGTAAACATATCTATTTTTAAACAATGCCTGGCTGATGGGTTTTCATCTTTCAATCACTCCAATCAAAACTTGTTTTGCCTGCAACCTGAAGAAGATGTGGCCAATTAATGGTGCCTCGATTTACGACCCAATTTTTAGGGCTTAATGATTATAACTAGTTAGCCATCCAATATTAAAATAATCCATCAAATGAGATAATACGAGATGATTTCGGCGATCATTTGCTTTCCTTATTTGTGTATATTCCCATGTTGTTTATGCCTCGAGCAAATCAAATTTATACATATATTCGATCCACTAAATTTTTCAGGCCAAAAGCCAAAAGATATATTTGATACGTTTTTTGGGATGACGTCCGCCTCATAAACAACAAAACGCCGGGCAATATCAATCAATTATGTCGGATCTGCACACCTAGAGCTTCGAGACGACCCAACCCCGAGTTTTATGTAACAAAGTGGCTTAGATTTCGAGACATCTAGGAAAATCATAAATCTTGTGAATATTTTCGTTCACCGATTGCGTCAACTTTGCGCACTTTGCTTCACATATTAGAAATGCAGATTCCCAAACTGAGTTCATCTTTTTCTGCCTTAAGTTCATTCGGGTGATTAACATTTTGTTGACCCAACAAATTGTAGGTGGTGACTGGGGAGTCATACCTTACCTTATACCTTGCAGATGACGGAGGATGGGCACATGAGCACGCCCACTTGTGCGGCGTGTGAAAACGGATTGGCCAAATCAACAAACACTAAAGGGTTTTGCCCTGGTCCAATACTTTGTCTTCGGATTTTCATTTTTTTTGGCTTAACCGATCTTTTGTTATGCTGATTATCCGTAATTTGTCATACGCTGCGGCCCAACTAATGGAAGGTTGACGAGGCTTATGGAGCAGCCGGAGATGTGACAGTTTATTTTCAACACATCTCTGAGCGATTCGCTTTTGAGGGGCAGTCGCAACAGACTCCCCCACAAGTATTGATGCTTAATGAGTTACTGCGGTAATAACTCAGTCTGCGGACTTTTATGTAATGGAAATAGATGTTAAGTATTCTTAAGTGCTAATTTAAGGTCATATACCTGCAAAGACATTTAAAAAAAAATACTTAAATGTCTAGAAATCGATCGAAAATTGCAAACCGATATTTAAGCACTTAAGCCAATAACTTTTGGAGACATGGTTGCCTTTTCATAATCGAGAAAAGATTTGCCTTAGAATGGCTGGTTTTAGGTCACTTTTCTGCAAAGCCATTTTTGGAAAAAAAGGAAAGGGGTTACATTATTAAAATTTCAAGAAAATCGACCCAAAACTTTGAACCAAAATTTAAATGCAGATTTTCAGAGCTTAAAATCACAAACTTATAGAGATATGTCTTTTTTAAATCGGATAATTGTAAGAAAAGTTATGGCTTTAAAAGTGCTGATATTAGGTCACTTTTCTGCAAAGCCATTTTTGGAAAAAAAGGAAAGGGGTTACATCATTAAAATTTCAAGAAAATCGACCCAAAATTGCAAACCAAAATTTAAACGCAGCTTTCTAAAG